ATCGTTAAGTTCTGCATCTTCTGCGACATCACTCATTTCGCTGGTGGCAGAATTTCCAGCATCGCTGGCCTGCCCGCCAGATTCGAGAATCGTGAGAATCATGAAGGGGCTCTCGGAACACTTGCCCCAACTTGAAAACCGACATTCCAAAAAAAACAAGTAGCGATCAGCAAAGAAGACCTCTAGGACACAAGACACGAAGAGAACCTTTTGGAGGGGCGAAGGAGAACAGAAAGGTTAAGCCTTCGGCGTTCACAGTGTTTGAGGACATGGGGATTCTGAATGCTTGAGCGTTTCTGCAGCGTAACAAAAGACAGCCAAGTGAAACCCTACGTCTGGCAGACCCGGATGTGCTTGACTCCTGGCTTTGCCAGTGGTTCAGGGCAGTGCCTTTCTCAATCCTTCAGCCTTGAACCTTCACGCAGAGGATATAGCAGAGGTGATCTCGTCCCCCACACACCTCCCTCACATTCGGTTCTCATCCCTTTACCCTGGTCATCCCTGACAACAAAGGTCCGTAAATCCCAAGTGTAGATCAGAACAATCTGCCAGCAGGTTTGCAAGCAAGCGCTTACCTCAAAGAAAGTCGTGCAACATTCCACAAATCTGCGACACGTGCCAGTTGGGCTGGGGCATTTGCCCTTACAGACATGCAAGTTGGCCCCTGCAGCAGAATTTGGAAGCACCTCTTCAACGTTTTCGTCTGCAGGCTCGTCCTTGTTCTCCAACATAAAGTCATCAGCCACCTAGGACAAAGAATATCAGCTATCGTTGCTTGGGACCTACTTGCACGGCCTTCGTAGTCTTTGACAATGGTGACAATGCCTGCATCCGTCATGGCACGCAGCACAGATCAACTATAATCCCCGGCGTGCCTCTGGGTAGTCCGGATCATCCGCAACCGTCTCTGGCTCGGGCTCAAAAGCCTGCATCACAATGTCACTCGTGCTAAGAACCCTCCTGTAATGAGCCGAAACCATGATGGAGCAATCACCTCACGGTGCACGGCAAGATCCTTCTCCTCAAGACATCCCCAAACTTCAAACTCTGCTTGTCGGCTTGGTGCGGCTTGCTGCGGCTTGGTGCGGCGTATTGTAAGAGCGCGGCTTGGCAGTGGCAGTTACCCATGACCTCCACAGCAAGAGGTTGTGCACAAGCTGACCGGCTTCCCTGAAGCTTAGTCATGATGTCTCAAGGATCACAACCGGCGAACAACCCAGTACATACCTATATATATATATGGGTAAACTGACATCCCTTCCCCCCCCCCCCCCTGCTTTTCGTGAGGTTGGCCACTTCAGCATGACCATTCCACCATTTCACCATTCCAACCATTTCACCATTTCACCAATTGGTTTGGCCCCATGGTCAGAACCATGTCACCACTTCACCATTTCACGATTTTACGATTTCACCATTTCACCAATTGGTTTGGCCCTATGGTACCATGGGGCCACCTCCATTGGTGAAATGGTGAAATGGTGGAATGCTGAACTGGTGACATGGTTCTGGCCATGGGGCCAAATCACTTGGTGAAATGGTGAAATGGTGAAATGGTGAAATGGTGAAATGGTGAAATGGTGAAATGGTGAAATGGTGAAATGGTGAAATGGTGAAATGGTGAAATGGTGAAATGGTGAGATGGTGAGATGGTGAGATGGTGAGATGGTGAGATGGTGAGATGGTGAGATGGTGAGATGGTGAGATGGTGAGATGGTGAGATGGTGAGATGGTGAGATGGTGAAATGGTGAAATGGTGAAATGGTGAAATGGTGAAATGGTGAAATGGTGAAATTTGAACCCTGAACCCCAAACCCTAAACCCCCTCTCAAACCCTAAACCCTCTGGGGAGGAGGACGCTGTGGGGCCTTTTTAAGGACATTGCTTTGAAACATTCTTGTGAGCTATACGCCTCATGCCTTCGCACGCCAATTCAGCACCACGGGCCTTCCCCCCCTGCGGGGACGTATCGTTTGGGGACTTTCGCAACGAGGCCGAAACGTCCCCAAACCACATTTTTGGGGACGTTTCGTTTTGGGCCCTTTCTTCATGCTTCGCAAAGGGACGCAAACGGTTTGTCTCCAATGCATTCTTGCGAAGACGTATCGTTTTGGGATGTTTCGTTTTGGGCCCTCTTGTTCGTGCTCGCAAAGGGACGCAAACAAAATGTCTCAAAAACGTTTGTTTTGTTTTTGTTGTTTTCTTTGAGGGGGGGGTTTTGTTTTTTTTTTTTTTGGGGGGGGGGGGTTCGTTTTAGGGTTTTGTCTGAGCTTCGCAAAGAGGCCCAAACAGGGCTGAGATGAAGATATTTGCTCACAGTATTCCCGTGTTCCCGCGGGCCTTCCCCTCAGTAGGGACCCACTACAAGCTGCTGCTGTTCAGGGTTTTGGGTAGGGTTTATAGTTTAGGCAAGCAAGCCAGGGGTTTACAAACTAGTCTGTGGTTGATAAACTTTATCTCGCCTGTAGTCGCTACAGGGGTGTATACAAACAAGCATGAAAAACCGTAGACCTTTTGCAGCAGTGCAGAAATACAGGGGGGTCCTTTAAAAGGACGGACTTAACACACCAACCCGAGCGTCACGTTGCAACCCCAAACCCCGAACCCCAACCCGCCAACCCAAAACCCGACCCAAAAAAGAATAAAGAAAAAACGACTATATAGTACATGGTAGAACCGGATTATGATTATAGAATGGACTTTTACATAGTATCGAAAAGGCAACATAAAAATGCGCGGAAACAAACAACTCGACAAGGTTGTTATAGATGAAAAGGAATACACATATAATAAAGAGAAGCTACTTTCAAATACATTAAAGAAAAAACTCAAGACAATATCCAAAGTTTAAAAAAATATATATTAAAGACTGCCAACGAAAGGCATAGCAACTAGAAAGGCATTGAAGAAATATGTTACTACTGAAAAAGCTAAGGTTGCAGATGAAACAAATGCTTTCCAACGATATGCCAACTCATATTCAATATCTAATCTAAAACTCAAAGTTTACAAGGCTTTACCGCACTTCACATATCAGGAAGAAAGACTTAAAGAGCTTCTGGGTAGAAACAACAACATGAACAGCAGAATCGATGGTCGTGCTTCCTTTAGCCATCCAGAACATGAAGAACCCCAAACATACAGAATAGGAAGCATAACTGATACATTCAACAACCCCGACGAATTAAAAAGAAATTAAAGGTGGATAGCTCACACTTAAGAAAGTCGGATTACACAATAAATACAGTTGACAATGTAAGAGTTCGCTATGACAAATACAACCCAACAAGAGCAGGTAAATACATTGAACTACCTAAGCGGATTGCTACAAAAAAAATGTACTAATATTGAGAACGACGACGATTCTTGTTTCAAATACTGTGTCCAAATCCAGAGTTTTTGAGATAATGAAGAAAGACCACCCCGACAAAATGTACCAATACAACAAACTAAGAGAACAGGACAACTTAATAAACTGGGATGGTGTAGAATTTTCCAGCATCAAATGAATACATTGACACCTCTGAAGAAATACATGATAGAGCAATATCAGGCAATGCTTATGCCATTGACCCTAACGGCACCAATGGCATAGTAGTTAATGGAGCTTCTAACAGTAAACGTCCATCGTGTCATGTTAATTTATTGCTATTAGAGGAAGAATGAGGAAGAGAATAACAACCACTGTGCTTTCATCAAAGATTATAACAGATTAACTGGTAAAAGATTGTGTCACTGTATGTATTGTCAGCATGGCTTAACAAACAAAACCTACTTAACAGACACTTAATAAAAAAGGATGTATGGCACACGAAAGTCAACAAATAGTAATGCCGAAAGAGGACAAATGAGCTTCCAAAAGCATTGCAAGAAACTTAAGTGCCCTTATGTTCTTTATGCTGACCTTGAGTGTTTAACAACGCCATCACCTGATGGATTTAAGGGCACTTACCTGAACGAAAGTGAACCTAAGTGTCCGAAGGGGACTTACGTGAACGAAACCGAACCTAATTGTCCGAAGGGGACTTGCGTGAACGAAACTGAACCTAAGTTTTAGAGGGGACTTACCAACATCATACACCGTGCGGCTTTATGTTAAATGTTGTCAATAGCGTAACAAACGAAGCAACACCTTCTTTATGCAGAGGTGAAGATTGTTTGGATAGATGTTGATCAACCATTTAATAGAATGCAAACAGAGATTGTGGACAAGATGAAGGAAGAAAAGAAAGATTGATTGGACAGAGAAGCAACGGGAACAAAATGAACAAGAACACATTGTTTGAAAAGCGGTGGTAATCAACTAGTCTGTGGTTTATAAACTTTATCTCGTTACAGGTGTGTAAACAAGTATAAAAACCGTAGAACTTTTGCAGAAGTGCAGACATGTCAGGGGGGATACTACTCAGCCCACATATATATATATATATGTTCAATACGCACTACGCATCTGCCAGTGTTCTCGCATCACAAGCAACAAGTGACCGCGCTTCACTCGTGGCTTTGCTAGAATGAGCAGCGCTACAAGTACTAGGAGACACGCGGACCACATGACAAGATCGACCAGCGCATGCAAACGCCAGCCCAGCCTGCGCCGAAGTTACACTGCAGCATCGGAAGACCGAAGCATAGCGTGACGAGAATCTCTTCCAAATGTCAAGAGTCGTGGGTTGAAATCGGAGCTACTATGAGGTACGGAATGAACAAACGATGGGCATCCCAATGCCTGATTTCAGTTCCTTGCATGTCCATTCATGTCTCTTCCTCCGATAGTTCGAGACTTAATTACTTCAAAAGCGCACCACCTGCGCACCACGCCCTGCAAAGGCTGTGCCGGTCTTTGGGGGCCTTTTTGAGCCCAAGGACAGAAGGATCACTCCGCCAAGCTCTATGATGTTGAAGATGTGACATGATAAGACATGGAAGTCAAAGCCGTTAAGCGCAGGTGAAAACCACAAATAGCAGCCACTACCAAGTCAGCCATCATGCGCCAGCAACACCTCGAGATCAAGATCCACTTTGTCCTGTACGAGCTGCATGCGCCTACACATATTAGCCATCTACATTACCTGAATTTGGACAGTCCACAGTCCTGCGCACCAGGATGCAGCACCTCGGAAAGTTTCATCGCAGGGCAATGCACGGCAATGTGTGCTTCAAATTTTGCCTGCCTTCACTGCCACATCACGGGGCAGCGCCATCGCATCCTTAAAATAATTGCCGCGATTGCCAATGATTGCACTGCACATCATCAGCAAGAGCCTGCTTGCTCGTAGCCTGACCACTGCAAAGTGGACCTACAGCCAAACTTTGAGCAACCCTGGGCGAAATCGGAAAACTCAGAAAGGCACAAATTTGGAGAAACGAGGCCACACGTGTCCACACGTACTTGAAGATTGAAGATCCAGGCTTCAGACCAAACAAACGTCCTCGGTGTACCTGGGCCATGCAGCCTGAGCCAAGCGGCTCGGCATCCTCAGCACGCTGAAGCTGCACTGAACTCTCTGCAAAATCTGCAATCATCTTCCACATGCTCTAGAGGAGCTAGGAGAGCCGCTGCCTAGTGCACAGCCAAGACCATCATGCAGCATGACAAATGGAACGACACAAACTCGATAACGATCTCAGATGATCTCAGCAGCTCCTGCACGAGTCAGAGGCCATTCTCAGCGAAAGACCAGCTGCAACGAGGTTTCCCAAGCTGGTCCGAAGGTCTGCATCAGAATCCTGGCGGATCTTCCGCAGCAGACCAGTTTTGCACATGCAAAACGGCAGGCACCGTGTCCTTTTGGTGTGAGTGAAGCTGTGGGGCCTGACGTTTGCCTGTAAAAATTCACAGGAAATTTTGAACATGCACGTGCCAGCCAAAGATAGCCCAAAAGCTGTGTCAGCACGGCACGCCTGTAACGGAGACAAATTGTCACAGACCTGCTGCTCAGGTCCACGCTGACATCAAATTCTGCAAGGGAATGGGGCGATGGCATTTTGAGGCAGAATGTCCGGTCTCGTCGATGCCCACTGCGCGAATTTGACTGCAATCGGTCCTTCAGCCTGCATCGGTTTCTGAATTGAAGCTGAGAAGTCCGAGCACCATGAGCGCAAGCCTGTAGGGCAGCTAGGATGAGCCGCCACATTAGCCTGCACGACAGGGTGGCAATGCACAGCCTGCACCCCAAATCAGATCATAGCACTTGCAGAACATGTGGGAACTGATCCATCGTCAGGCGTGAAGTGCACCGCATAATGAGCCGAACTTCGCTGATTCCGCTGTACGGTCAGCCTCTTCGGGAATAAAAACAAGAAGGTGTGCTGCGTGAAGGGCAGGAGTGTGGAAAACCATGTTGGGGTGACAAACAATTCAACAAAAAACGAGGTTCACCACCGCTCAATTTTGGAAAGGGCGTGAGCAACGACACTCACCCTTCCCACCAGTTGCGGCAGGTAGGAGGCATTAGGAAGCCTGTGAGCACTTGAGGGCACGTTGTTAAACAGCATCCAGGCACCCATCCGTGCATTCGCTCTGACCGGGACCACTGCCTTCGCATCAAGCCTCCTCAGCCCTGACACGCGCTGGCCAAGTGCAGCCGCGGTGGGAATCTCTATTCGTGTGTTCGGGACACGGCCTTTCTCCACCCCACTGCCAGCACAGCCAGCACCATGGCCTCAAAGCCAAACGTTGGACATCGTTGGACTTTCGGCTCTCCAGATATCAGTGTATGAAATGTTCATTTAACCCGTCGTTTTATACTTGCATGTACTGTACATGAAGCTGGTGTTGCATGACCTGCCAGTGCTAATCGTGCATCAGATCTCCTTGCATTGTGTCGAACCGTGGCTGAAAGCTAAACACAAGGCGTCTTCTTGTTCAGAACATGCTCTTCAGCTTGGATCGAAATGTCCTCTCATGTACCAGTACCAGGTGCCCCACGATCCGAACTCAGTTCGGGGTTCAATGAGTTTCGGCTCGGATGCACAAACCGTCACAAACCTATTGGTTGGGATATGTTCGGATGGGAGCTCTGCACAACCGGGGAGTTCAATTGGATGTCTGTTGCTTTGGATGAATACATCTCAATACGTCCTAGGGAAAGAAAGAAAACATTGATAGTGCGGAGTGCTGTCAAAGAAGCAGTCTGGCACAAAGACCCATTGACTTGAACTTGTTTCGGGACTCAGAAGGCATGCCAGCTTCATGCAGCAGCGCTGGTGGCAGGAAACTTTCTCTTCGAAATCAAGGGGGCTCGAAACAACAAAGCAGGCTCTGCAAAAACAGGGTGCCATAAACGTGAAGTTTCCACAAAATTCTTCCAACAGTCTCGCGTTCATTGAGTCGGAATGTAACGACGTCACGTGGGATGTCCAAGGCCCGAGGCCCTCGCGCCACTGCGGCTAAAGGAACAGCACGTAGCAAAAGTTCCAGGCACCGCAAGATGACCTGTCCATGTTCTGACATGTGCTATCATGTGCTACTGTCCAACAAGCTGGTGTGGTCTGGCAAGTGGACCTTGAAACAGTGCCAGATCCGCGACCGTCTCGTCCGCCGCGGCCTGTCTGCATTCTCTGAACTCTGTTGTCTCAATGCCGAAAGCTTCATGACCTCTGGATCGCGGAGCTGCTGCCACTGTCATGATGTGCGCACTGGCCAGGACCCTGGCTGCTAACATGGATTGCACGGTGCTCTGCTAAAGCATTACCACAACCATGCCTCAATAACCAGGCTTTGGCAATCAGAGTGCGTGTCCTGCAGCCACGCACCCCCACAAATCTACGCCCAAAAAAAGAAGGACGCATCAAATCCCGATAGGAGCGCTGGCTAGATCTAGCTAGTGCCTAGTGCTGCCTCCGTTGAAAGTAGAAAGCTTGTTTCACCCGCACGGAATTGACCGCCGAGGCAAAGGCATCCGGAGTTTCCTTTTAACTTGCACCGAGGCCTCGGGCCGTAAGTGAGTGGGTAACCCACCCTCCATCCCCTCCCCTAACCACTTATAACCACTTGTTGCTTGGCACCCCGAGCTGACAAGCATCTAAAAGCGACGGTGCATCAACCACGCTCCCCTGTCCCCCGCTCTGCCCGCCCTGACCCTCCCCACCCGACACCCGCCGCCTCTTATATAAGGGTGCAGTGCAGACCTAAGTCTGAGCCCTTGACAAGCCAAACCCTGAAACCGTTGTGGAGAAAGCCATGATACCGAATAGGGACTGCAGGTCCTGACCTGGGTGAAGTAGCCCTCAACATCGTACCGATACTCCAAACATGCATCCGTTGCACACCACTTAGGGGCTTAGGATTGCTGGACATGCCTCGCAGCAGTGGCGATAGGCCAAGGCGGGTCGCGTAGCTGAGCTCTACAAAAAACACACAAAAACTGTCTCTGTTCATGTCGTCGTATGTCGTCGATTCAATTGAGCTAGTTCGTGCATGCTAAACACGTAGAGGCACTCTTCCAAAGGCGCTTGTTCCCAGTCATAAATGATGTCCTGGGAGGTCCTGGGATGTTCTGGGCCACCTGGCCCCAAACTTTTAAAGTCGGCCACTGCCGTTGTCTTGAGTGCTCGACGTTTCCACTAGCTTTAGCTGTGCCGGCAGTGCATGCAGTGCCCCTAAAAAATCTGCACTGCTCTCAGGCTTCATTTCACGCGTTCTTCATGCAGTTGTTGATGCCAGTTTCCAACCAACCTGAACCCTAACCCCACCACGGTTCGGGTTGGGTCATATAACTCTAACCTTCCTCCCACCCTCCCCTTCCCTTAAGCCGGGGTTAAAGTTGGGACTCTCACCCAAAACCTTTGGGATTCACCCTAATGGAATAATCCTTCACTCCTCTGGTCTTCGAATACAGAAAGACAAGAAGCCAAAACAAGATTCGAGGGAGGTAGAATTTAGAATTATCCGAATTGAACGCGATTTACAAAGCCCGTGGACTTCGAGCAACGACAGGCGCGCATGATCACACATTCATTTAAGCCATCTCTCGAACATGCACGCGGTCACGGCGCGTTTCGGGTCCGCCGTTTCGTGTCCGGGGAGTGCGTTTCAGGTCCGCCGTTCGGAACCTGCGGAATGCGTTTCGGGGGGTACACGGGGCCGTTTCGGGACCCGCGCAGGTGCGTTTCAGGTCCGCCACCCAGGGAGGTGTTTAACTCAATGTGCCCGCAAAGGAATTTCATCCGCAAACTTTTGTTGGGTTGCATAGACACTACTCTCCGTCCTCAGAAGGGATGGAAGGTAGCTTGTACAATTGTGGCTTGGGTGAAAAGAACCCTAAACCCCAAAAACCCTAAACCCTAAAACCCTAAACCCTAAAGACCCTAAACCCTAAAAGACCTAAACCCTGAAAACCCTAAACCCAAAAAACACCAGCCCTAAAAACACTAAACCCTAAAAACCTTAAACTCTAAAAACCCTGAACCCTAAAAGCCCTAAACCCTAAAAACCCTAAACCCTACTTTTTCCGCTCTCGCCGGGGCATGAAAGCGCCGGGTGGTGCTAACACCCCTGCCTCCCCATGTCAAAGCCACCCCGACCAGCCTTCCTTGCCGACCCCTCGACCGGCTTCCTGGCTCCAACACCCAGCCCTCCCCCCCCCCCCTCCCCCACAACCCCCCCCCCCCCCCCACCCACACCCCCCCCCCCCCCCCCCACCCCAGCCCCACCCCACCCCCTACCCCCCCGCCCCAGTCACCCCCAAAAAAGCTGAAGTTCTTCTTTATCCTGCTTTACAACCCTTTGGCGCTCTTCCTTCACTCAACCCCACTTCACGAACCCGACCGGCCTTCCTGGCTCCAACACCCAGCCCTCCGCCCCCCCCTCCCCCCCCCCCCCCCCACCCCCCCAACCCCCTGTTTTACGTTCAGATTTACGTTTTCAGATAGGCCACGTGCTCGGGATGAAGCCCCTGCCCTTCTACTCTCTCGCTGGAACCTGGCGCCTTTTTCGGGGTCGGCGGAAGCGGCGTTAGCCCGAAGATAGTCCTTAGACTTAACCCGGAAAACCCTTAACCCTAAAACCCGAAAACCCTAAACCCTAGAACCCCTAAACACTACAAACCCTAAAACCCTAAAAGCCCCAAAAACCCTGAAAACCCGAAACCCTCAGAACCCTGAAGCCTAAACACCCCAAACACGAAAAAAACCCTAAACCCGAAAACCCCTAAACCCTGAAAACCCTCAACCCTGAAAACCCTGAACCCTGAAAACCCTAAACCATAAAAAAACCCTAAAAACCCTAAACCCTCAAAACCCTAATCGCCAGCACGTCTGACATGCACCCAGAGTGCGTCAGAATTGTCCCTGGCACTGGGCTGAATTGAACTCCCCCCGGGGCTGAAATTCGGACCTGAAATGGGGCCTGAAATGCACCCCCTTCGTCTGAAACGTACAACGCTCACATGCACGCACAGATCACAGAACATCATATAACTTGGTACCACAACCGGTGAGCCGTATGAGCATCCGCCTCGGGTTGCCTGCCCGGCAGTGCCCCTCGCAAATATCCAAAGGTGAGCATCATCGACACATGCGACTCTACCAGGATTCGATTGTGCTCACAACAAGGAGCCCTGTGACCATCATCCACCCTGCATTTGCAACCCAAGACAACGTCGACAAACGGGGGAATGGGGCTTCGCGTTCCCATCCTCCGTGCGCGTGCACCAGACAAAGGCTTTTGACAAAACTGCCAGCGCTTCACCATTGCCCTTGGTGCTCTTTCTGCGGGTTGTCTGTGGTGCAGGCACCTGTGGTAGCCCCCCGGTTTAACGAGCGTCCTTCTTGAAAGCGAGCAAGGCCTAGCAGGCAAGCAGTTCAACAGCATTTGGAGGTCGGATATGTCTCGTGTAAGGACCCTGCACCCGGCCCAAGCGCTATCGCTATGGGCTGCAGTCTTTGAGGTAGCCTGAACACAAATCACTCAAGAGTGAAAAGCTACTGCCCTGTGTTGCCACCCAGCAACGAGCCTACGCTGAAGGCCATGCTTGACCGCCAAGCGCAAGTTGCGGTTCAGGCAAGATGAATAAAGGAGCATCGGGCTTCCGCCATGCTACGCAATGCTACGCCATGCTATGCCATGGTGCGCCTTGCTTCAGGCTGTGCAAACCATGCAAACCCAATGCGACCTGCAATTAGCAAGTAGCGTGGATTTTGCTTATCCTGTTATCAGAGCTGGTGTTGTTACACTGCCTGCGCCAACCGACTACAAGTGAGAGCAGTGCCGTGCAGTCGAGTTTTCTCTCCATTCTAAGCCACTCGGCAGAGGAACCGTGGACTCGTTCACGTGTGCAAAAAAAAATGGTTCACGCAGCCTCATGAGACAACATCACGCATCTCTGCAAGCGCATTTCGGACTTGTTCCAGGCATCGCTTCGGTGCCGTGTGCCGCCGACCTGGGCCATCTTGAATATCTTGACACATTCATGTTACGCATCGGGCCATAAAGATTTAGGGACTCTGTTTGACCAGCATCAATACTTAACAGCTGTTACGGCTTGGTGAACTCGTGACAGAGGCTTGCTGCTCAGACAAGCAGCTCAAGCTCACTGAAGATGCACATCAAGAGGAGCAGCTTGCTGCTGCTTCTCATGTCACTTCTCGATCAATCGGCCACTTCTCGGAAATATCCCGAAAGCATCTCAACCGCAATGTTCAACTTGAGGGTTCGAAACTTTGGGAAAGCGGCAGTTGGTCGACGGAAACACATGAGTTGGATCGATCTCGGGCAGCCTGTCAGACGCGCGCACACAGACACTGATGGCCATAGAGAGAGAGAGAGAGAGAGAGAGAAGAGTGGGAGAGTGAAAGAGAGAGAGAGAAGAGAGAGCGAAAGAGTGAAAGAAATCAAACAAGAAGGGCGATATCCCGCACAGCGGAATGCTTGCGTGCACGTGCAATTTTTGCGCGGCGGGGTTTTGGCCTTGGCCTCTTGTTGGGAATGCATCGGAACCAGGATCAAGGCAAGCTGTTCAAGTGTGGCAAAACAGCACAACTTGAGTCTTTGGCTCCTGGTCTTCGTCTCTCACTTGCTCTGGCTTGGGCTGAAGTTGAAGTTCTTTCAAGACATGCTTGGTTGTCGTCCCGAAACATACCTGGAGATTGCTAAAAACAATGACTGGCACTAAAAGCGCGTCTGGCACGCTTTTTTGTCAGTTTGCTTGAGGCCAACTTCGGTCAAAGCAAATGAAAGAAACCTGAATCAACTTGATTTTCGCACGTTGCAAAGTTGGAAGTTGCACAGGTGTTGAGCCCCAGAACATGCATCCGGCCAGGCTGCAAAGAGCCAGATTCGGGATAAGCTTCGTTGTCGAGTGTATAGCACGCTTAGAAAGTGCGCAGAAAAAATCGGCGCCAGACCATGCCAAGTGCGTCACTTTGCAGCTGGCTGGTTGCCCGCTCCGTGGCCAACAACCCGCCCCAAAACCCCAAAAATCATCCAAAAACCGCCCCAGAACCTGCTGAGGTGCTCGCCCCGATCCTTAAATTGGACGGAAGGACCCCCAAGCTCAGGCTGCAACACTAGGGAAAAAGATGGAAAAGGAAATAAACGAAAGACAGATAAAGAGAGACATGCAGAGAGTCAAAGAAAGAGGACATGCAGAGAGCTAAGAAACAGAGGAAAGATGAGCAAGCCCCGCAGGCACACAGAGAAAGGGGGAGAGACACGAAACGTGGGCTTGGCGAAGCCTTGCCAGTCTCCATGCCAGCTACAGTGACCGAAGTTCGGCGGCCCGAGAAGGACAAGCTGCCCGCTTTCGCAGCAGCATTGTGCTGTGGGCTCGGTGGGCTCGGTGGGCCTTCGCTTCATGGTCAAGTACATGCTGAGGAACTGAAGACTTCGGTCGTGGTCATTCGTCGCCTGATCGGGAGTCAGGATGCTCTCCGTCGAAAGTCGGTGGCTGCGGTCGAAGCGCATCCACCTTACAGAGCAAGATGCAAGCCACAAGCCGTTTAGAATAGTGAAACTTCCAAAGCTGCTGAGGCCACCACTGACAAATTCATTGCCAAGAACTGGCCGAGACATGCTGAACACCGAGGTTGCACAGAGATGCATAGTCTGCCTAGCCATACACTGCACACAACAAAGCCCCTTGTTGCGCCGGCCTGCGGCGAGCGCAGTACCGTTGCCAGGGGACTGTCACCTGGACCGGCGAGTCACGCACTTCGGTCAAGTCCAGCTATTCAAAATGATGCAGGCACTTGCTGTATGTCCGCACTGCACAAGCATAACTGATCTGCCGACCCTTGCTGCAGCAGGGGCTGCGTCAGTGAAAACCCATTTTCTCCCCTACCCCTGCCCCATCCCTGTTCCTTTGAATTGAACTCTCGACTTCCTACCCCCTACCCTACCCCGTACCCCCTACCGCCAAGAAGCTTTATCTTGTAGTTGTGACTTTCTTATTTCCTTCTTATTCGCCTCGGCTTCCTGCCGAGAAGCGTCTGGAACAAGCAGACCCGGATCGGGCCTCCTTCCCCCCAACCCAACCCTTCCATGCAAAATTTTCTGACGCCACCCCCCCCCCCCCCCCGCCCTGGGACCCCCCCTGCAAACCGATGCCGTGGAGGGTGCCGCCTGTCAGTGGCTCCTAACGGGGCGTACTCAAAACCCCCCCCCCCACCCCCCCACCCCCCCCACCCCCCCACCCACCCCCCCCCACCCCCCCCCCACCCCCCCACCCCCCCCCAACCCCCCCCCCCCCACCCCCCCCCCCCCCCACCCCCCCACCCCCCCCCAACCCCCCCCCCACCCCCCCACCCCCCCCTTAACCCCGCCCCTTTTTTTGCCTCTTTCCTCCTTTCCTGGTTGGGGCCGGCCCGGCTGCCGAGGCGGCGCGCGCAAGCGTTTACAATTATTACTATTTTTATTATTTTTCTTCTGCTTCTTCTTATTATTATTCTTTTTGTTCTTCTTCTTTTTCTTGTTATTTAACAAGACTGCTCTCTACAGACTGTATCAGCATTCATGCAACACAGCATTCATTGCACACGCATGCTGTTGTAATACGGTGGGGCTGTGTCCGACTCAAGTCTGGTTGCACAAAGCAACAGTGTACACCTGACTGCCTTGCACCATCGCAGCGCACAGACCGCCCACACAGAAGTTGCACAGGGAAGTATGTAACAATTCTTCTCGTCTTATTCTTACTATTATTCTTATTACTAGTCTTCTTATGATTCTTCTTCTTCTTCTTTTTTTCTTCTTCTTCTTGGATTTTTTTCTTCCCCCCCACCCCCGCGCAACCCCTTTTTAAAGGCCCCTGCACCCTCGGCCTTGGCCCTGGTCGGCACGGGGCGTGCCCGGCTAGCGACTGCCCCCTTAGAGAGTCTCTACTTGCCCTGTACCCAAATCAGCATCCTTGCCTGCTTCAGCTTGCCAATGTTCACGAGCACCAACCTTGTGTGGATTGCACAGATTTCTACACGCATCGCCGAGTGCGCATGCTGACATGCCCAAGCACACTGATGAGTCAGCAAGTCACACTGCCCAAGGACGCCTCCGTCGGTATGCGCAGGGATGCTGGTGGGTGAATCGAACTTGGAGGGGGGGTGTCTGCCAGCCACGGGGCGCTTGCCAGTTCGCAACAGAGTGTCTCCAAACGTTCATCTAGGTGCTCCAGGGGTCTGAGGTAACAAAGAACCATGTCGACCAGATCCTGTTGACGCCTGTGTGACAAACCCGCTGACCATTGGACAGTGCGTGCGGCAAGGCCGGACAGGGACTGTGCCAAGGCACGCACTTGCAAGCCCAGAACCCCACACTGCCGACAACGTGTATAGGGTCTTTCGCTGGGTGCTGAACTTGCTTCTTTCTGGCACTCGCTCTTCTCAGGCTGAACAACTTCTGCCCTTTCTGTTCGGCATGCTCGTTCGAGGCTGGTCAATGCTTCGTCAGTGCTCAGCTTCTTGGTCTCAATGCCCTGAAACAAAACTTCAAGCAGACCAGGGTCATGAGCTGGGCGTGCATCAACCAGCGTTTCGAGTGTTTCAGCGCACGCACTCGGTATCTGCTCCACGTCGAAAGCAGGACCAGAATTCTCCATGAGCCTGATGGCCATCTTGGGCAGCTCAGGAGCAGAGGGCGGAGAGGATGGAGGCGGAAGACTCTCCTTGATGCAATGGGGCACAGGCCTGGCACTCAAAAGTGCGTCAGTGCCAGGCACGGACACGGATGGCTCAACACCGACATCCTGCACGCTGCCATAAGACCTGGTCAGGTTTGCCAGGCTGTCGTCCAGTTCACTCAGGTGCTGTTGCAGCAGCCCGCCAAGCTCGTCTGATCCATTGGGAGTGTGCGGCAACATGTCGAGATGTGTCGAGCTTGCCTGCACACTTGAGCCGTGCGCGGCCTCAAGAAAAGAGGTGCTACAATACAAACGTTCCCCTTCTCTGAACACACGTTCTCCTTCAGAGCCACCAACTCCGCACAACTCCTGCAACAAGCATGCCTGGGGCCGGCCCTGTGTCGACGACGATATTATTCAACACTAGCTCACTTTTGCACGCAGACATGAGGTCTTTTCACCGTGGCCCGCGGCTTTGGTGTGTGAAGTAGCTTAGCCAGAACACCACACCGATCCACACATCCCCTGCCTAAACCCCGAACTCAAGATGCACCGGACGTCCACCCAACCATCGGACAGTAGTGCGACGGCCTTGATGTATGCCTTGGTCAGACTCGGCCATGGCTTCGAAAATGTTCGAAGCCCAAGATTCTACTAACATTACCACCATGCTGCACAGAACCTGCCCCCGAAACTGTGAGGCGAGGGCTGTCGTCAGTATGGACGGTTGTGGCTACGTCCGCTTCATCATCTGGGCCAGCAGCCTGCAATCTCTGGCTGTGGATCTGGTGGGTGCTGCTCCAAGTCATGAGGACGTGCGACAAAAATTCGACTCTTAGACTGCGTCGCCCGACTGAAAATATCAATGAAGGTCAAGACTTTAAGAAGATTGACAGACCATGGCAGACACCACCTCGTGGTGCTGACTGTTTATGTGGGTAAATTTGAGCAAATCCGCAGGGCACGCAGCCCTTCCGCACGTCACGCACGTTGCGGTGAGGCATTATCTGCAGCCGAACGATTTTGCCTTCACGGTGGCACGCTGCTTGCGAATGTATTTGGCCTCAGACTCAAAGGCAACAGTAACTTATGTTCAGCCGCCCCAATGTCTCGTGGAATGAGATTGAATTCAAGGTCTGGTGCAATGAAGGCTTCAGCGCCTGTCCCCGTGCCCACATCCGCAAGAGCCTGGCAACAAACACATGGCAGATGTCAAAACACACAAGCTGTCCCCGTGATAAGCGCAGCAGGCTGGCCATGCCAAAGTCGCGACCTACACATTGCACATCAGCACTCTGCTCGTTCGGTGCAAGCACCAGCCGTTGCCCAACCTCGGGGCATTCCTCGTTTCCAATCGACCTTGTCTCTTCCTTGGCCGTCTCTGAAGTTGCGGCTTCGTGCAACATATGTTTACATGTTGTTTTACACTTGCTTCATATACATACATAATCTGCAACATTTAACAACCATGTAAGCAAACATGTGCTTGCATACGTTTGCATATGTTTAAGTACGGACATACGCTTACACGCGTTGACGTACGTTTACATATGTTTACATACGTTTACATATGTTTACACATGCTTCCTCTGGGCAATTGGCGCTGGACATCATAGAGGGTTCCAACGGCACCTCAGGCTGGAAGCGAGAGAAGAGAGACTGTGAGAGAGTTTTGTCACCATCGAGAATTTGGCAAACAATAAGCTGACAACCTTGGCAAGGCCAAAGACGTTCGGGAAGGTGACATCGATTCCTGACGCCAGGCATGGGACTTACTATGTGCCTCATCTGAAGGGCTGTGACTGTGTCAACCCTGGATGCTGCCATTGAGCTGGCAGCTTGTCCCAGGTTCCAAAGTTCTTCGGATGGAGAACCCTGGCAGCAAACATCACAGTTTAAAATTGGCTTTGCCACATGCAACTGTGCCAACTACCCGGTACAGAAAACTCAAAAAAGGCAAGCGTCCCGCTGCTTGGATCGAAAAGGCCGGAATTTCCTTAGCAACATCGCCAGAGATTGGCAACATACAACCCCACGCTGCCCCGACCTTCGACAATTTGCATGACAAACCGCACAGCCCCAAAACAAGAAGCTGGCCAACGGCAAGTCTGAATCCAGTCTCCAAGACCTGAAGACGAGAAATATGTACGAGAACTTTGTACCTGCTTAGCCTGTCGCGGCGCTCACTCAGCTCTCATTAATTGCGTCAACTTGCCCCATCAACCGGCCTTCTCGTGCTTTGGCCGATATCTGTTCTCGACCTTTACTGCATGGCACTATATGGCACTGCATCCCGATTTTGTTGCAGAATGTTGCAGAATGCTGTCCAACGCCTTCAGCTGGCTTCGCTGCCGTCGGTTCCTGGTGCTGGTGGATGCTGGGCTGCGCACTACAGCGGCAAGCTGCTGACCACGCAAAAACACAGACTGTGCTCCGTCCGGTACTTTACCAATTGTGCCAGGGGTCAATACAAGCACGTTTCTCCAGTGTATATGCTTCATGGCGGAAGACACATCAGAGGCGGAGTGGTCACGAGAATGCACCCCAACTAGGCACTGGGGCATTGGGAACTGAACGAACTGCAACGGCCTCATATACCGCAGGCACCATCCAATGCAGCTTTCACGCGTGTTAACTCGGTTTCAACAGCTGGAAACTCAGCTTTGAAACCTTCTGCAAAGCTGACAAGAGAGGTGTTCTCTTGTGCAAATGAGACGTGATATTCGCAACCTGAACGAGTATTCTAGAACCATTCTTGAAGTGGCCTTGCAATCTTGCTCCACAAAGCATTGGAAGCCATAGCAGGTTCTGTAATGGCACCATCTTCCTCCTACATGACAATCACCAGGAAGACACTGTGGAAAAAGACAACGAAGAGACCAGTCCACATGAAATGTGCGCTGAGGAACGCTCCTTACGAGACGACTAAGAGGCCGCTACATATTAAAGTTACTTTTGTTTGTCATATCTACATATTTCTTTAAATAGTTGTACCAGAGGAACTCCAGGAAGGCCTGGCACTCAATGGTCTCGGCAAAGCTGGCGACTTGGGCCTCCGGTTACCGACATAAGGATGACATAAGGTAACCAAGTTCAGACAGCTGCGTCAATACGGCATCCTTCCCTGAGTTTTCTTGCGAACAAGCGTGAAACCGCACCTGTGTGTCGCTGTCTCTGCTGCCTCTGCTGGTTGCCTGCGTCGATGCTCTGCTTGAAACTGCTTGCAGTTTCTCCAGCCAGATACATAGCAGGCCTTGCCTGAAGGTCTTTGCGGCATCTGCTGAGGCCCTTCCAGGCAACTTGCTCGCACGTCACCACACACTGGAGTGTTCATGCATGTTCATCTCCTCGCGGCTCGAAGCCTGCCAACAGGATCCACCTCCGCCTGAAGAGTTTCCCGCTGAGCACACTCAGAGGGCACATGCACACAAAGACAGTCGCACGAAGCTGCCATCTTGTTATGCTTCCACCTCCTGCTTTGCAGCATCGAGTTGGGCAAAGATTTGGTCCCAACACTGGTTGGCCTCAGTGTTCAAAGCAGAGCAACTCGAGGAGACCAACAATGTACAGAATATGTACAGAATGTTACAGACACTGAGCACTACACTGAGAAATATACTGAGATCTGATGCAACCGAGTTGCGCCGTCCTCGCCTTCCGGCGGCAATCGCGAGACACGAACTGCCCACATCAGCTCATTCGTGAGAGAACCTATTTACGCTGCAGTGACTGCCAGACAGTCCGCAGCCTCTCATAACTCTAGAAAAACGAGCTGCTAGTGTGCATCATCAGACCAAAGCAGGTATGTGACCTGCCTGTCCAGCAATTGCTGCTGTGAACCTTTTCGACAACCCTCTGTCATTGTTCCTGTGCCACGCAGCTGCAGCATCTTCAGCCATGCAGCGCTCATAGCAAGTTGTTGCAACATGCGGTCTCAACTTCGCACTCTACTGAAACGAGCAACAAAACATCAGCTATATGGCTGGCATTTCATTTATGTGTTTTTGAATGCTTTTTGATCCTTGTATTATTTGTTGATTCCTATGCCGTGAAAATCGAACAACCTCACGTGTCGGATGGGGAGCAAAGCATAAGAATCCACTCACTTTTGCCAACACAGACCCACGGATCGCTGGAGAAAAGTCACCAGCCTGTCACCTTGCGAGAGGCAGCACTGCAGCAAACAAAAGCAGGTAGAGAAACGTTGAACAATGTGGTGCATTATCCTGGGGAGTCTGCTTTCCATCCTCCTCTTTCGGCTGTTTCCAGATAAGATCAGGAGCAAAGTGATTGACTCCTTGGCTGCAGTAACCAATTGCACCGCCCCCTGCCATGCAGCTGTGTGCAGTCATGTGCAGTCATGTGCAGCCCAGGTGCCCTTTCGCCGATTCTTGTTGGCAGAGTACTTCTTCTTTGGAAGCCAAGTTTCTGCAGGGAGAAGCTCACTCTGACACAACTCATCATAATTCTGCGGGACGAACTAATTTCAAACGTAGCCAAAGCACCCTTCCCTCCCATGCCCTGCAAGCTGAGGCCACTCACCGTAAAACAACTTTTCCTTCTTCTCCTTCGGCAGTTCATCACCCTCGGTCTTTGTGAAGACGTCACGGACCTGGGCACCGTGGGGCTGCTGCAACGATGCCTAAGCTTGACCTGAAACACAACATGTCTGAATGCGGATGCTTCCCGTCCTGTCGCTTCGTTGCTTCCTCGACAAAGTCTTCCATGCTCATGTCCTCAACAGCCTTGCATAGGAGAAGCTCAAGCGAAACCGAGGCAACTGTTCTGAGATCGTCAGGACGCCTCTGGACCAAGTGTCAACAACTGTTTCTTCAAGAACGCGCGGTATTTCTTCAGCCTAAGCGCCGGCTGTGATCGAATGATGGCAGTAGCACAGTAATCCATGCCTTCATTGTAGAAAAGACTCTTTACGGTGTGCTTGTGTGCGAATGCAACACAAATTTCAACACGAAATGCGAGAGACGCAATCTTCACCAACATGCTGTGCAGGCAGTGCCGTCTAGAGGGTCGCACGTGGCCGCATCTTTCCGCTTTTGCGCGTATGCCTGCACCACTTCTTCCCTGGCGGTGAGTACAGATTAGCACCAACTGCGCCAGCATGATGAGGGAATGAGGTCAGGCAGAGCTCTGCAATGTAACTAAGTTGCTCTAACCTCTACATTGACAGACAGAGGACAAGCACCCCAAACACCAGACAAGACTCAAAGAGCACCACACCGAAAAGAGCACCAGTTGACAGCCCGAAGAGTGGTTGTGTCTCTTCTTTATTGATCTCATGAGCTACTCGTTTTTGCTCCCGGCCTCGGCTTTAGGTTCTTCTGATAGATCAACTGTCGGTCGCGGTACCGCAGGTTGGAGGTGTGCGTGCAGTCCTCGCAGCTTCGGGCACAACCTCATGTTGGAATAATTTGCCGCCAGGGCAAAGGGACTGAGCAAAGCCCGGGCAAGTTCAGCCTAAGTGCTAACCACATCAAACCCACAGCCTCATGCACAAACCGAAGTGTTGCAGTTGGCTGCGTATTGCTCCTTGATTTTGTGCATCGGATACTCCACCGGATCCTGATGTGGACAAGGAACAGGATAAAGAATATATTTACAAAAGTGGAGTCAGAGCAAAGCAAGCATAATCATGTCTGTAACTTGTATGAGACTGATACGAAACTGATAGGTTTGCATTCTGAAGTGTTTGAGGTCGTTGGGCCTTGTTGTAGTAGAGGTGGTTAGGCCCGGCGAAGAGCTTGAGCCGCTCCTGACATGTTTAAAAAGGCTACAGGCCACATGCTCTACATGATTCTCGTCACACTCACCGAAGTCCCACGAGCGCTTCGAAGCACATTTGCCCCCACGATGCCTTGAAGATTCGCCTGTTGGCCTTCGTTTTCTTCATCATGCCCCATACAGCCTCGATTCTGCTTCGGCGACTCTTTCGTATCCGCCACGCACAACCACGAACAACCATGCACAACCATCGACAACCATCGCTCTTCGCCTGCCATTAATACGAAGATACGGGCATGCATCGGATGTCCCAAAGAGGCTCTCCAACAAAGCTCTTAAGAACGCTATTTGGAGATAACGGAGCACGCTCACGCTTTCTGAGGCCGGGTGCTCTCATGATGATGCGCTCGGGGAAACGTTTCAAGAGGTCTTTGAATCGCTCCACCTGTCCCGTTGTTCGTTGCGAGTATGCAGGAGCCCAAGGCATCTTGTGACTCATCTGCCATAGGCCTTCATGTGGCCAGGCCGGTTTCCAATATTCCTGAGCTGCAGGATCGTGGTAGGGTGTGCCGGTGTGCCGGTGCCAGATTGTTCAACAACCCTGGGACACCCGTGAAATCAGCGTCACTTACAACCAGCTTACAAACATGAGCAACTCAGAAAGCTGCCGGAGATAGAGCTTGTAGTGGTACTTCTTGCCAGAGACACGAATCTCAGTCGATCGGACAATGTGCACTTTTCAACCGATGCCGACATCTGCCAGTGAACTGAGGACTGCCGAGCATTTTTGTCAAGCAAGCGATGTTATTCGTCGTTCCTTCAAGACTTGGGCATGGTGCCCAAGCGGCATAATCCTGATGAGGTTTGGGGCAGGAGTGAGATCTTTGTCTTGCCATCCCTGCAGAGGGATCGATCCGCCACGACCGCGGGTCCAACGTTGGGTCCAACGGCCTTCTGCGCAGGAGATTATCCATACTTGCCAAGCCCCGAAGCCATTCTGCGGATGGCTCTGTGTCACACGCCGCGTCCTACATCGACAACATCTACAAGCTCTGCCAGTCTCTTGACTGACGTTCATCACCTGGAAGCTGCGTGGAGTTATGTGGAGTTGCTGCATCCCGCGGTTGTCCAGAAGCTCGCCGTCTGCTTGGTACATCTTGATGCATCTTGACCAAAAACTCTCAGCACAGTAGACTGGCACAACCCTTCACGTCTCCATCCCAAAGCTGCATCAGGTAGCCCTGTCAGCTGCCAGCTTCGTGCGTCGGAAAGAACATTCAGCTCTTAACGCTAGACGACAGAGTGCACATATCACCTTTCGCGCCTGGAGCTGCACCTTTCTTTGGAAGTACGCAAAGTGCCTCCAGCAACTGGAGAATTCTGGCAGAGGTCTCGTGGGCAGCCATGGCAAAGCATCCCGTCCTCCTGCCGAGCGTCCGGTTGCGGTAAGGGTGAAAGCCTTGACATTTGCCGACAACAGTGATCACACAGTGATCAGAAAATGTCAGCCCAGGTCGCCTCGGGACTGCGCCCCGAGAACGATACCCCAACTCCCTGAGCTTGCTCTGGCAAGTGTCTGACTGGGAAATCGCCCAACCAGATGGGTGGTGAGCATGCTAGATGCTGCCACACCCTGTAGAGCCAGAAGTGGTAGTTCGAGACTTCTGGCCTGAGCAAAAAAGAAGTTTTTAAAGGAAGTTTTTGCAAGCATGCAAGACCAAGGAGATCTCAAGCATTCTGTGGCTCTGGGTCCGTGACTGGCGGTCCGTCCCAGGCAATCTCTTCCCTTCACTGCCTCAAACTCTTCAAAAGAAGTGTCCCGTAAGTCCTGTAGCTTGCCCCAGCTTCATGATCACATCTCTGTAAGCCAAACACTTGGTGGCTGGAAGAATGAGCCCTTCGGAGGAAGCCTCAGCAGGTGTGCGATGCGTGCACTCCACACACTGCCAGTTCGCTGTGAGCGGCTTGAAGTCTGCACCATGCCTCCGAGGACGAATCTGCCCCGGACCAGGAAAGGCATACTGCAAACCATCAGGCCAGAAGAGACTTCGGCCTCTAGACCAAGGGCATCGAGGTGCTGTCTTGACTCTCTTGTCTGCTGATCCCCGTTTCGCCAGCCTTCACAGTCTGTACCCCAGCGCCTGAGTGGCACACCGGACGCGGTTGAACTCTTCATGTCACTGTCGCTGAGGTGAGAACGAGAACGACACCCCCAACTGTGCCAAGCAGGCCCCCAGCACAACCTGCCAAGCAGAAAACTTGACAGAACATACAATACACACTGCTGAAATCCAAGACAAGCGACATCGTCCCAGTGCCCCGGCGCAGTAACACAATGTCCCGTGTTCCAGTCTCCAGGAGAGGAACTGCGCATCAGCTTGCCCGCAGAAATTTCTTTGGAAAGGACTTCTAAAGCCGCTCTTGACAAGCATACTCCTGTTCCGCCATTAAGAAAAACACGACCTGGCTGTTGATGTTTGTGCGCATAGTTGTCGAAACCAATGGCCCACGGGTCTGCAGAGGAAAAGTTTCGGCAAGCGAGAATGCGTCGGAGATTTGGAGGAAGGAAGAGTGTGTCCGAGTCCAGGCGGCAGATGACATGTGGCTTCCTTTCTTCTGGGAGCTGCCGAAGGTGCAGCCCTGCAAAGTTCAGCGCCATAAAGGTCTTTTCAATCGTGTTGGGTTCCCTGAAGCTTTCCGTCGGCTGTGGATCAGCCGCGATGTCGAAAAACTGCCTCAAGTTGACAATCTGGTATCCTCTGAAAAACGAGGGGCCACTTCCGGCAATGACGAATTGTAAAGAGTCACAGTACTTGGCATAGGTCTCCACTATCATAGCCATTCTCTCAAGCTCTCGCGGATACATCGTGAGCACCAGACACTGGATCCGAGGGGACTCGAGATTTCGGGCGCTTGCCTCTTGTGGCTCAGGAGCCCTTCGCCGCCAGCATCGCAGTGGACTGGAAGCCCGCAGCCAGCGATCTGGCACAGGCAAGTGTCGGTGCCACACGTCTGTCAATATTCGCTCGTAATTTTCTGCAACCTCCTCCACCGGAAAGGCCCACTGGCTACGACATGGTGCGTGGTGAACAATGAAGGCCAGGTCCATAACACTTTCCAGACTGGTTAGGGCAACGTTCTCCCGTCCCTCCCCCATGAACTTGAAGAAGCACATAATGCCATACACAAAATGGCCAATCAGACATCGAGTTCCACGATGTCGATGCTGAATGCCCCTTGGACAAGGAACACTCCAGAGATTGGTGTAGGCTGCCACGCGCCGGATGGGAAGACCGTCGTGCAAAACTGTCCATATCTCATGGCCGTATGCTCTTTCGTTTGGCCATGGCTCCAAGTCGCAACCCCAACACACTTGATCTGTAGCTTGTTCCACTGCCTCCCACCAGCTCCCACGATTGCGTATTCCAGTGTTGATTCGGCAAACAGCTCCACAAGTCTCGTCTGCTGTCATGTTGGCCCAATGCCAAAGGGATGGATCGGCGATGTCATCATCCAGCGTCTGACCTGAATCGTCCAGTGGATGCTCCATGGCCCATCAAGCATCAACCGAGGGTTTCTATGAAACACCTGAGAACGGTGAGGGCACAGGGTACCTTCAGAGCATTGTCTGCACAGCACCAAGTCCGCAGAGCAAAGGCACAAAAAGAGTGAGAAAAACCCATCAAAATCTGAGATTCCTCACGCGCTCACAGTTGGTGACAATCGCATAGGCACCGACATCCTGCTGGCCCGGCATGGCTGTGTGGCGCTCAGATGTCTCGCAGCCCTCTGCTCACTCACTCTCTCCCTCACCCCTGCCCGTGGAAGACTCTCGCCACTCTCCCCCACTCTGCCCGTGGCTCTCGGTGTCTTGTCCCGAGCTGGGTCATAGAGTGGACTGTCTAAGCCCTCGATGGTTCTGGCCACGGCCTGCGAAGCTCACGTGTCTCACTTTTCAAACGGCATTCCCAGTGCCGCGCTCCCCTGCCTTTGCTAAGTGACCTAAGGTCTTCCCCTCCGCATCGAAATGGTACCATTGACGGTACTTGTCATCCTGGCACAGTTGTATTCAGGAACCCTGGCAAAATCATTTTCGTGAATGCTACATGTTATTACATGTTTGTGAGCACCGCTTCGACTGGCGTCGACCTCCCCGTGGTCGCCACGCGGACATTTGGTTTTTGAGGGTTCTTCACGTGCAGCGATGCGAGTTCTTTTTTCGGTGTGCGAAAATCTGCCGGAGAAGACACCTGACAGCACGGTCTCTATGGATTGACGATGGTAAGGGATGACCATGGGGTGTGACTTGGGAGATGGTCGCGAGCTGTGATGTCTCCTCGAGATCCAGAAGGTGCCACACTACCCGCGTGGCCACGTGGAGCACGTGGGGGCTGGGGACGGTGGTAAGGCTGACAAGGAACTCAAAGTTTGCTTGACACATTTGAGATTCGCCGAGCACGGGCTGATGGAATACAGACTTGGGGGCCGGGATCGGGTTTTGCATGGTGTTGGTTCGGGGACGGGAAGTTTTTTTCCTTCTGATGTTTTGTTCACATTGTGGGAGCAGCTTTGGGCGGTGCTTTACCAGAGGCATGAGAGGGCGGCGATTGACATCCCGAGGCGAGAATGGGCACAGAGGGCTTTGGGTCTTGTCTGCGTCTGCTCCCATGAGCGCCTCGGAGTGGATGCAGAGAGAGAGAGAGAGAGAGAGAGAGAGAGAGAGAGAAAGAGAGAGAGAGAGAGGGGGCTGCTTGGACAGGAGGCGGAGGTGGCTCCGCCCACAACCCTGGTGATTGTTGCGGGATGCAGTTCGGTTGTGGGTCCTTCTGCGCGGGTGCTGTCGACTACGGCGGGAGAGAGTGGAGGGTTTGGTGCGTGCGCAGAGTTTCGGGAGGCGGGCTCGGTCCCGGCAGCAGCGCTCATGAGACCCGGTGGAGTGCACAGGTGGAGAACCAAAGCACCGCTTGGGGGGGGAGTAGCATAGGTCGCCGGATCTCGTGCGGATGCATGGTGGGGGGAAGGAGCGCAAGAGGACTGTGTTCGAGAAGTGCTTCGTGGACTGCATGAGGCCGGTGCAGGAGTGCAGGGAGGTATGGCTGAGAGACTTTTGGCTTGTTCATTACAATCAAAAGGCCAATCAAGATCCGAAATCCTGCTCTGCGGGGTCAATCTGTTTCAATCCGTTACAGCGGCCCAATCCGTGTCATGGATCGTGGGGGTTCCGGGGGTGGGCACCCCATGGATCGGCGAGCGGCCCGCCCGCTCCAGAGATCCTTCTGGAGTTGAACTTCAGGCATTCTAGGGGTCATGTACAGGTGGGACATCTCCTGTGCGAGCGGGCACTGCGAAGGTCATCCGTGGATGGGCATTCCAGGGATTTCGGGCTGGCTCTTTTGAGGCAACGCTCAAACAGTTCAGGTGCCCGTGGTCTGATAAGCATCCCGACTGACAATGCGGTCGCAGTATCGGATCCAAGGGGCCTCTGAATCTTCCACCTTTGAGGTTGCTAGTCAGAACATGTCAGAACTAATCCCTAACTACAATCACTAACCCAAAGCCTTTATGTTGAATAGCCTTGGGAATTTCCGTGTGATTCAGGCATAGGAGCATACATTTGCTTCACATATTTGACCCCGAGTTATGGCTGTCTGTACCTGTATATTCATTAAGGAAGCAGGAATACTTAAGCGACTGACTTGAAAACCCACTCAAATTGAGAGTCAAATTCAACTAGCTCGGTCTCAAAGCCTACTTCAGTATTCACTAGGTTGAACAACATGTTGAGTGACCTTTTGATTCAAGCTATTGTTTCATGAGTTTGCTTCACATGTTTGACCCCAGCTATATTTCTGTGCGTTAACCTGACCTCCAATTCTGCTGATCTAGTTACAGCTGAACTGGGATTTTGACAAATGTGAGTCATGACAGTAGCACAGTGTTTCGTATTTACGAAACGCTTTTCATGAAGCAAGTTTCGGTTAAGCAAATGGCGACATGGTCCACCACAAGAAGATGCAGCACATCAATGGCAAGACCTCTCTGCGCAACTGAATAACTAAAAAGGCGCATGTGAAAGCTTTTATAGGGCCTGTAGCACCACATCACTATCCAAGACGGTTCCGATGCTAACATCCGGTCTCTCGTCCGAATATTACCAGATACTACCTTTGATACTTGTGGCACAAGGATTCTCTGTGAGACATATTCATATTCTGTTTAGACAGAAGAGACGAAGGATTGGAGACATACCTCTGCAAGGGGGCCATCTCCAAGGAACAGAATGGGATAGAAGGATACTTACGATTGGAGGAGTGGCAAAAAATCAAAGATCTCCGTGCCAGTGCTCGTACATCTTTATAGGATGGTTGTATCACAGGGGAGCAAGTGGACTGTAAGAAAAGACATGCAGAGCGAGACAGTTCATTACGCAAGTTTTCGAATATGTACAAGCAATGACCCGAAATGGAATTTTAACACATGCAAGTCATGAAGCTTGATTTTTCGATGTTGTATAAGCCGGACAAGGAGAAGGGGGATAGTGCAATGGAGAGACGAAGACTAAGACAGTTGTGGATCTTGGGGGGGGGGGGGGGTGTGACCATATGTAGAAAAAACCCACAAACACCTACAAGTATGTGGAGCTGTAGGAGCATGCAGCCGTTAGAGCGCCTGAATCGTTGCTTCGCAGGTTGTGATTACTTCAATGTCTGATGGTTGTTTATGCTGGTCGCCTGACGGCGGTGAATGTTTGGCAAGCATGGAGCTCGGTGTCTTGTCGAGCCCTAACTCATGGGCGATGCAATTCTTCGTCGTGCAGCTCATCATACTGTTGCTGAGTGTTATCGCAATCAGATCTCGTCTTTCTGCTGGGCTGTGTAACGTAGAGTGACTGAATGTGACTGACACACCACGTGAGCCAAGCTAGGTTCATTCTGCCGGCCTGCAGCTTCTTGCAGGGATGGTAAGTTTTTTCTCCTCTCCACTGAGGAATCGGCTTCCATTCCTGAGGAACAACTTGAGACAAGTTGGCCAGGTCCCCTTGACACAAGATGGTCAGAACCGCACGCAAGCGTGCACAAATTCAGAAGAGACTCAGCCCGCTCCTCAGAGCCATAGGGCAAGACTATGGCAGGTTCAGCTGGATCCTGAGATGGAACTGGTTCGTGTGAGTTGGCAGTGCAACATGTCCATCATATTTACAACTACATGATGCCAGGGCTCGTATTCCGGGCTGTCGCGGCCATAGCGATTCGGAACAATTTGTGAAACACCACGCCGACATGTTAAGCCTTCAAAGTGCACGGAGGTTCATTTCGATTCATCTCACACATTTTCTAACCTTACATTCTGGAAGCGAGACCGAGGGCCACCTCGTGGCAAGCTTTCCACGACGGCAGTGCTGCCTCCACCACACTCAAGAAGCACACGTGCTTGATGTTAGGTACAGGTTTAAGATGTCGGTTGGGACATGCAATGCATTATGCTCTCATATGCACTCCTGCCTGCGGGACGATGAGGGCCCTGACCCTCAACGAAGCCACGCTCCTGCAGGGTCAAATTTCCTTCTTATGCCGAAGTCGACACGTGTTGAGGCTCAAGGGCGGGAAACAAGCCGCGCCTGGCTCCAGCAGAACGCAGCCAGAGTTCCAACCAAGGCGAGGAGCGGCACCTGCATGGATGTGTTTTGCCGCATTGCCACATTGTGTTGTTGGCAGTTCTTGCTTTTCGGAGGTTAGGGCGCTTAGGATGCGGTTAGAGCAGGGGTGCTTTGGGGTTTTCAATGGTTTTCAGACCAGGGATTTAGGGCTCAAGCTTCCGGGTTGGCCCCAATCCCAACAAAAAAAAACGCCACTACAACAAAACAGTGCACTCCCTGGAGAACCCTCTCCTTGGTACGGTACTCATGTTCAGAGATCGAAGTCTGGAGCTTGGCTGCTCTGCTTTTCGCAGCGAGCTTTGCTTGACTGGATGAAAAAAAACAGAAACGAGAGCTGAAAGCCTCGAAAAGACTGCACACTTCAAATTCCACTTGGCTCTCTATGCGTGGGACTACATCATATACACCTCCTTTTGCGGCGCATTGCCCCTTTGAACCCAGCCTATGCAACGTCATCGACAGAATTGCACATCTGCTTGGTTGTGCGATACTTGGCCTGGCCGCGCATAGAGAGGAGGCGGCCTGGTCGGCCCATGTCCACCTGCACATTGACATACGGTGCGAAGGTAGCTCACCCGAACACGATGGTGGTTGTGCATGTGCTCATGCTATGTTGCTTTCGTGCTCACTGGATGCTGGGAGGCTCACTTGAGTTTCTCTCATGGGTAGGCCTTCAATGTGAGAGGAGCAAGACTTCTTTCAGCAAAAATACTGAACAAAGGTTCTGTGCACATGAATCCAAAGTTCGCATGCTGTCGGGTGTGACATGTACTGCACCTGTTACATCCCCTGCAGTGCTAGCTTTCGAAGAGCCCCAGGCGGCAAATTCGCATGGAAAACAGGAGATTACAAACCTCCTTTATTCTGGAACGCAAAGGGTGGGAATCGAAGACCAGCGTTATGGCAAAAATGTATTGACATCACGTCGCTTCACAATGAGCCAAAACTGGTTCGGCGGTCTTTTATGCGAAGACTCCAGCAGGCGTCGTGTCAGTCGTTCCCCGCATCGACCTATCCACCATTCGTGGTCGGTCGAAGTCGAGGTCGACTGCAAACACCACTGGGTGGCGTGGGTGGGTGCTTAAAGCAAAAGGTGCTCAAAGGTCTCGAGCGATCAACTGCGGTTGAATCGCTCGTACAATGTCACTACGAGCAACGCGTTGCTCTACACGACATCACGTCGCTTCACAATGAGCCAAAACTGGTTCGGCGGTCTTTTATGCGAAGACTCCAGCAGGCGTCGTGTCAGTCGTTCCCCGCATCGACCTATCCACCATTCGTGGTCGGTCGAAGTCGAGGTCGACTGCAAACACCATAGGTGCGACGCCTGAGGCCCATAAACTCGCACCGGCAGGCCCTCACAAAATCGAGTCAAGGACAAACTGCAAGAAGGCGTCGTCGGTGAGGTCGACGCGTTGCCAACCCTCTGCTTCCGCGTGGTCGAAGTCAAAGCGGCTCACGGCATCGCTTGCATTGGCTGAAGTCGGCACACGTTGCCATACCGGCCACCAACCGTGGTCCTCCACGAAGGTCCAGAACCATTGGATCAGCTTGTTCACGCAGTCGTCTCTGCCGAAACCCTTGATCAAAGCGTGTCGTGCAGGTTCGTTGTCGATGAAGAGTGTGATGTGCCGAGGCAATCTGTCTGCGAGCCGGACCAATGGGATCACCTGCGCCATGATCTCGAGCACGTAAATGTAGCTTCTTCTCGTAAAGAAGTGACGCGTGAACCACATTGGAAGAGTTCCCGCTGCGTAGAGGCACTCGTCTTTGGTCCGGACCACACAGCCCCAACCGTTGACGAAAGTGCTAGGGGCCACGATGTTGTCGATGTCGTAGTCGTCGCCTGGTCGCCATTTGCGTCCCCCCATCTCGAAGAAGGCGTCGGCGTAGATCACGGCCGTATCATGCACGACGAAGTTGATCGTTCGCGGTCTGGGCGCCTGCAATCTCCCTACCAGCCATTGGATCGCCGAAGTCAACGCCGAGCCTAGCGGCCACTCCGCGCCTCCTCGTCTGTGGTTCTCTGCTGCTGCCCGTCTATGGAAGGGCTTGAGCGCCGCTGCTCCAGCTTGTCCGAACAGCGACTGGGCCACGAACTGTAATCGACCAACCAAGGAGGCCGCGTCACGGGGTCGGAGTTGTCCACACACGAGAAGTTCTTCCAACTGGTTGCGAAGTCGGACAACACGAGCAGAGGTCGGGTGTATCTCGGCTCTGTCAGGGAAGTACTGAAGCTCGACCCCCAACAACGTCTGCTTGTTCGAAGGTGGTTGGGCCTTGGAGGCTTTAAACCTAAAACCCAAATACCCGCAACCCTCCTGGATCTCTTGGAAGCTGGAGTCGGCTTCCGGGGACGTCTCTGTGGCGCCGTAGTCGTCGACAAAGTGGAGGGTCGGCGACAACCATAATGACCGAGTCAACCAAGCCATGCAGTCGGCCGTTCTACAGTAAGACCAAACCGACGCGGTCGAACCGAAGAGTAGGGCTCGATGTCGCCATAAGGTCGGCCCTGCGGGCGTAGGAAGGATCACGTAGGCGTGGTCGGGGTTCTCTGCCGGTAGCTGCCTATATGCTGCCTCATGGTCAAGGCCCCAGGTAACCAGCTGTACCCCTGGGTGCCGAGCTGCAATCGCTCTCCCCACTGCAATGAAGGCGTAGATGTCGTGGTACGCTGGCGTGTCGTCCACTGATACGGTCTTGTTCGCTCCACTGGATCGCCAATCCTCCGCCCTGCGTACCTTGGGCGCACCGTCCGCCCCCACCTGGTGCACCGGGAAAGCAAAAGATACTGCCATACGGCCGCCTGGTGGAAGGGGGAGAAGACGTCTTGTGTGTTCAAAGTCGGCCAGAGCCACTGTGCGCTTAGGCCAATGGGCCGGCGCTTCGAACGGCCCCTCCATTCGGCCTTTGACGACATCGCTGGCTATCTCCGTTGCCATGGTGTGCCAATGCTGGTCCACCTTGGTGTGACGTAGTCGAGTGCACACAAACTCGTCGTTCTCCCTGAAGAACTGCTCCACTGGTACCGGGGTAGAGTACCTCGCGTCCGACCTCTGTCGCCATCCTGCACCAGGGCTGATTTGGCCTAGCAGTGGGAATCCTTGTGACAGCTCGTCAAATAGGACGTAGTCTGGCCAACCGAGTCGTCGCGCCAGCGACTTGATCGCCGGTACTTGTAAGGTAGGGCGACCGCGTGTGTCCTGGTAGAGCTCCTTGACGTGAGTCGGCAATGTGCTGAACCACTGCGCAGTCTCTTCCTCGAGATCGTCCACGAAGAGTTTAAGGGCCTGCGTGACTCGAGGTCGAAGGTCAGGTAGCACGCTCTTCCAATGGCTCCAAACCGGCAACCACTGGGCTAGCCCTGGCTCCAACGACGGTGGCGCTTGGTGCGGGTGTAGTAGACCGAACGAGGCACGCCAATGTTCCGCAGAGTCGGTGATCGCCGAGAGGTCGACCGCCTCCTGTGCTAATGGCACCCCTGGCCCCACTAGCAGTGGTGCGGACTGCCAAATGTTGCACACCACGTCGAGGGCGTTCTCTCCAAACGGCCCTAGAGGTTGCGGCACAGACGTTGACGAGGAAGATGCCGGTATTTGCCCGCAAAACAGCGCCAGCGCCATCATCCACCTTGCCACACCCACGTGCCAACCATTGGCCAGTGCTTTGTCACGCTGGTGGGGCGTGAGCGAGGACGTGTAGTTCTTGGGGAGGTGATGCAGCTGTTCTTTGATAGACGGGGTCGGTAGGCATAGGCGTCCATCCGGAGCCTTCCACATGTTCCCAGCTTCGAAGTGCCAAGGTGCCAAGGAGCGGTTGTGCGCCAACCATCTTGCCTGCGTGTCGCTGTCGACCTTCCCTTTGCAAGAGCGCGGCGCCGAACGCCCTTCCGGGTTGTCGGCCGGAGTCGTCAGGCACGGTAGTAGTCGCCTCCCTGATGTGAGGTTCTCTGGCCACTGCAACTCGCCGACGTCGTAGTCGTGTAGGTCGTCCTTGGGCACGTCAAAATGAACTTGTGGAAGGCCTTGGTATTTCGACCAGCGCAATCTGACTGGGCACGAGGATGACGAAGCCAGTTGTTGCCACTGAATGCGGGTCCACCAGACCCGTGGACGGGATATCACTCCGAAGTCGGCTGCATCCGCCACCACTGCCGTGGCCGAGAGCTTCTGTTCGAACATTCGGACATCCTGCTTGTTCTGCGGCACCACGTTTTCCACCACCAGAGCAGCCTGAGCTCGACCCCAGGCCGCTTCCAAACTGCGGAGGAACTCGCAGAATCCAAGGAACTTGGATCCCTCCGGACCCGCCGACCCGGGAGCCTCGTTGCGAATGCGACTGTGGTCGTGGCACGGCGGGCCCCCTGTCACCAGTACCGCGCAGCTCCTGTCCGGGTCGTCCTGGTCGAGGTCGCTGATCAGGGCCTGCACATCATCGGCGACGAAATCGCCTCGGTGCACTAACAACGCGCCGAAGCGCTCTTGTGACAACTTTGCTAGGTCGCCGTCCGTCTCCCATGCGAAAATGCGGCGCACCTCGAAGTCCTGTAGCCACGTGGTTGCAATGTGCGGGGCGGAGCCGAGGCCGTCAAAGAAGCTTAAGACGATGAGGCCTTGTTTGCGCTGGCTGAAGCGGGGGTTGGGTTTGAGGACCACGGCCGGGGACTCAATGCGGGGTCGCTTCGCCTGTCCGGGCTGCGCTCCGTATGTCCGTGGCTGCGGGTCGGGTCCACCCCCCAAAGCGGGTGGCCCGTGCTGTCCCTATTCGCTGCGATGGCCCCAAGCATGGCTGCCCCAAGACTGCGAGTGGTCCTGCCGGCCCGAGTAGCGGTCACCGTCGGAACGCCACGAGTCGCGCTGCCAACTGCCTTGTTCTGGCCGCCTGTCGCCGTACGAGTACGGCTGCCACCGCTTGAGTACGGGCTTTCCACCCTTGCCCCCGCCTTTACGCGACTTGCCCTTGAAGTCGCTGGTCTTTGACTCCCACTTTGGCGTCCAATGCTGCGCGGTCGTAGAAGTCTGCAAGGTCTGCTTCTTGGCCGGGCGGTCTGACGGGACATCGCGGGCCATGGCTTCCTGAAAGGCCTGCGTGTCGTCGATGATCGCGTCAACGATGTCGGCGAACTTGCCCCCGGAGCGAGACTGCAGCGCAATTCTCCACGCCACGGCCTCCCAGTAGGACTTCATTTGTTCCAAGCGTGAAGAGTTCTGCCTGACTTTCTTTTGGAACCAGTTGATGAAGCGGACGATGTCGCTCTCCTCGCCAAACTCACACAAAGTCCACGCCCACCTGATCGCCGTCAGACAGTCCAGGATTGCGAGGGTCGACTTTGGGTTCCAAGGCGCTTCTTTCTCTGCCTCCAAGGAGTATCCGTCGTCGAGGTCGCCCTCCTTCTTGATAGTGAGCGTAGTCGACTTTTTGTTGCGGCGATGCTGGTGGATGGGGTTGGGCTCGCCCGCTGCATTGAAGAAGCGTGCCTCTACTAACTCTGTGAGTGACAGAGCCGTGTACAGTTTCGTCTTGTCTTCATGTACCAGACGTGCCAGCACCGTTTCTGCGCCTAAGAGTTCATCCTGTGGGAACGTGCGGGACGGGGTCATCCCCGAACCCGCCTCGTACTTGGCAATTTGGGCCGCCCACCAACCTGTCGGTAGTTCTTTGGACGATTTCGAGGAGGTAGCTGCGGACGCAGTCGCTGTCGGTGCCGTAGCTGCAGTCGGGGCCGCTCCAGCCGGCTGGGACTTTTTCCACATGAAACGAAGTCTTGCTTTTGCTACAGTGACCGCCAATGCGTCCAGCTGGATGATGTCGTCCGTCGCGATCGTGTAGCCGTCAATGAGGGGCTGAAGCAACGCCGCATCAAGCTCGTCGGTCGACGAGGCAGCTGCCGCAAAGAGGCCTACCTTGACGAAGCCTCTATGACGAAGATAACGTCGGAGACTCATGTCGGCCCCTGCGTCCTCCAAGAGGCGTTGCATCTCGTCGTCGAAGTCGGCCATGGCTACGGGACCTAGGGCGGGGGGGTGGGGCGGGGTCAAGGCCTATGCAAAACTCAAAAGACTCACCAAGATGTGCAGCGGGCGGGCGGTACAACTCAGCGGCCACCACTTGAGTCATTCCCGCTTCGCCCCACGACAACTGTGTCCTATGAAAGCGCAGCATCTTTCTCGAACCCTGCCAGGCTCAAGGCTCATACGCGGCTCTCATGTGCCTAATTGCTACTAGAAGCAGAGCTCGTCTCGCTCTGTGAGTCCTCGGAAGAGGCCGACGAGGAATCGAGGTCGACTACGTTCCCCTGGGCCGGGAAGCACTTCTTGCACAAAGAGCCCGACTCGCTGTCGCTGCGCCAGAACTTAGAGTGTCCGTATCGCCAACCACACTGTGCCTGCCATTTAGCAGGATTCCTGTCACCCTCGAGGGGGTCACGGATGTGTGTTTTCCGGCTGACGATGAAGCGTTGTCGATGCTGTAGTCGCTCCACTGCTAGTGACAGCTGTTCCAAACGTTCTTCCAAGGCCGAGGTCGCTGCGGTCGAGTCCTTTCCCACTGCTGAGGTTGAGCCTTCTGTCTCCACTGCAGCACGCTCATCGCCAGGACTGTCACACAGCAGCCATTGCCTGACAGATGTCGGTGTCGCAGGCGGCGGAGGTGGGAAGGGCGCGGCCGGCTCCAAGTTGGTGAGTTCGGCATCCTGCAGGTAGCGTTCGATGGCCCTGCTCCCCCATCGACCCAGCAAGGCTATGGTCGAGGTCGGTATCTTCAGCCGGCAAAGCCACTGAGCTCCCGAGACCCTCAGGCAGTGACCTCCGAAGCGCGGGTGGCCGTTGTCGTCCCTGGTTGCTACTCCTGCAGCCGCCAGAGTTGCTCGGATGAGCTCCACCGCCTGATTCTTCGAGAGCTCCACGTAGTCGCCGTCATGGAACAAGGGGACGTCGTCCGAGGCCCCGGTGTCAAGCATGTAGTAGTGCTCGAGGACGTGGAATGGGCACAACTGCTCCCCCACCACTTGGCAGTAGCACCGGTGTGAACGTGTCACTGAACGCGCCTGTGTGTCGGTCTTGGACGCAGCCAACTTGACGGATACGGTGAAGGACTCGTGGTCGAAGCTGATATCCCCCCTGCGAAGAGCCGCCGACTCGATCTCCCTGGTGAGAAACCAGCATCCGCCAACCACCATGGCGTGTCCCGCCGCGGTCGTGTTGGTGTCGCTGAAGCGGAGCTCCTCCACCCTGAAGGCCTGTTTGAGGGCAGGGCCCCCCAAGCCACGCTCGATGCTGCGGACGGCGTCCGAGATCGCTAGCACTACTCCAGCGTCCAGCTCCCCGAAATTCTCGACATGGGCTCGCCGAGCACGGGAAAAGTATTGCTTACAAGACTTGTACCCCCCGGCCTTGAGCAGGCTGCCCACCTTGGCCACGAGGTCGGTGGTCAATGGTATGGGCCTCAGCGACCAAGCCTCGGCCAACCGCTGCCACGTCTTCCACCTGCTGTCCTGGGGGGCCTGGTTGGAGCGAGCGAAGATGTCCGCCTGGAAGGTGCGAAGTGTCTCATCACGAACTGCGGGGTCGGCCGCCCTAAGCGCCTTCTGGAGGCAACCCCCATGGGGCTGAGGTGCCGGACGTGGCACATCCTTGCGCTTGAGGTTGCGCAATGGCCCCGCGGTCGTCGGAGCCGTACAAGCAGAGGCAGTTCGCGCCCCATGTACAACTGTGACAAGTGCATCCAGCGCCGCCTGAATGTCCGGCCCAAGCGAAGGACGGCCGAGGGCACTCACTGCGTCGTCCACCGACGACACTCCGATGTCTTGGAGCGTCAACAAAATTGCGGGGTCGAGGCCCGCTTCATGGGTGGCTTTCACTAGGCTAGCGAAGGTCGATGTCGCCATAGGCGCGGTTGCAAAAAGGGTGTGGTCGGCTGTGAAGGAAAAACTACAACAGAGCCCTGAAAAACACCCAAGCACAACAACCAAAGCACCGAAACCCTCAAGACGACCAAAGAAAACACTCCAAGAAGCAACTCAAAAACGGCCTCCTTTTCCCAGCGCGGGTGTCCTTCTCTTTGTCCACCCCAAGACATCCGACCGATCGGCATGGTCGGCCAACGAGGTCGAAGTCGAGCGGGGCCACATCAGCGACCGCGACCACCAAGAGCCACGTTCCTGCAGAAGGGGCACAAGTGGCCTTTGTGGTAGCCCGGACTGGCCGGGACCGGTCGGTAGCAGCGTCGCATGCATCCTGGAATCGCCTTGTTCGCACCGGGGCAGACCCTGTTGCACCATCCAAGCTGGCGGCAGTGCTGGACATTTTCGGGCATGGCCTGTTGTGGTACGTTAGCCGGCAAGGACGGGAGCGGGATGACCAAATGCTCGCCCACCTCGTTCATCAAGTCAAGGAGCTCCATCGGCTCTTTCTCCATTGGTTGCGACTGTGAGCGACTCGCCGATCTGTGACTGTTCGCCGAAGTGGTCGCTCCTGGCTGGGCTGCCTGACTAGTGCCCTCGCTGACGCTCCCCCCATGAGAAGTGGTAGAAGGCGCCGAGGTCGTGTCCAACGAAGATGCCTGTTGCGGAGCCCAAAAAGTCCAACTCGATGACCAGCTGTCTCCGTCGTGCTGAGTGCCAGCGACTGTATGAGAACCCCACGGACCCCCTGGCGTGGTCGTAGTCGGAGAAGTCCACGAAGAAGGGCCCTGTCCACCAGTCGCCGTGTTCAACGCAGGCGAGGTCGTGAGCAGCAAGCCGTTGCTATGCCCCTCACACTGTCCGCCCCGAAGATGCCGGCCATCAGAAAGCGTCCTGGGGTCGAACGGCGCGTTGTTGTCCTTCACGTCTGGCAAGCTGTCCATCTGTGTGGCTCGAAGACGACGGCCGTCCCAAAGTAATGAGATGATACTCGATGTCGCCAACGAGGAGTCCACCAGTCCAGGGGCCGGCCCACCGTTGCCGCCTGGAACCAAAGACGCCGTCGAAGAAGTAGTGCCCGAGGTCGCCGAGGAGAGGTCCACCAGTCCAGGGGCCGGCCCACCGTCGCCACCTGGAACCAAAGACGCCGGCAAAGGAGTAGCGCTGCCCGGAACGCATGGGGTCGCCGTGTCGTCGTCAACGGACATGCCGTCCAAGGCGTCGAGGTCGATGTGCACCCGAGTCGGTGGAGTGGATGTGACTGACACCCCAGAGGGCGGCGACGCTGGCTTAGCCTTCACGATATCCAACAACTTCGATGGCAGCATCTGTGCTGGTGCCGTGGCCGCCGGGGTCGTGGATGACAAAGCCGTGCTTGCCAAACCAAAGTCCACTGTTGTTCTCATCAGCTGCTCCGATGTCGAAGGCGAGGTCGCGTTAAGCTCAGCTAAGGGCACCGCCGCCTCGTGGTCGTCGGCATCCGCCTTGTCTATCGCCAAGATGATTTTGCTGCGCGCTCCTGGCGTCGAAGCCCTAAATGCCGCTACGAGGTCGGGCCAACTCAGTCCGGCCAAACTCCGCACCATTGCCTCTCCGGCTGCTGAGCTCGACATGGCTGGCAGATCGAGGTCGAGGTGGGTGCTTAAAGCAAAAGGTGCTCAAAGGTCTCGAGCGATCAACTGCGGTTGAATCGCTCGTACAATGTCACTACGAGCAACGCGTTGCTCTACACGACAATTTATGCAGGAAATGGATTACCTCGCAAAGTTGTTTCTGAAGAATTGCATAGCACGCAAAACATCAAAACTGCTCCTGGGTGTTCGGGAAATTTAACACAGAACTGAAGCATTGAATTTGTCACCCCAAGTTGAGAAGAACAATCGGAGCACGCCCGGTGGCGGTTGATTCGTAAAACTTGAATAACCAAGAGATCATGATATATAGCTTTTTCTGACACGCCATGTAACTATGAGAAGAAATTCTTGAAACCCCAAACGAACAGAATTCTCTCGAACTTCAAGATGCAGAACAAGTCGTTCACTTTACACACCTCAAATTCGAAGGCCAGTTGACATGTGAAGCAATTAGGTGCTCATGCAGAATATGTCAAAGCAGCCTTGGAAACATTCCGGATCGATTTGAGCCCACGTCTAAGCACGGTTGGCATCGATCCTATCCCCATGCCCTCCAGATCACATCCCAACATCCCTGCCAACTTCGCCTCAACTACCCGAATGTCCCGATCTTCGTGCCTTGGCGCCTGCCATAGCCAAACTCTGAAGCCAGGCTTTGGCTTGAGCCACGCGACGTGGTTTTGTGCCCGCGCGTTGGCAATCAGATTCTCAGGCAAGAGCTCAAGAACAACACAAAGATAGCCGCACGATGTCACAATACAGGCAGTCAATTTTTTCCCTTGCGGGGCTCTCCAAGAGGATGTCCACCGGAATCGTGCTCTGACCGAGGGTTGTACACGGCTGTACACACTTGCACGCCATCCTCGGGAGCTCAAAGAAGCGAAGCTTGGGGCACTTCCTACGGCCATCGTTCTCGGCCTCTTCGCCTGAGCGACAATGGACCAGATTGAGAACGTTGCTTACTTCGATGGCTTTTCGAGTTTGGGCTCGGCTCGAGTTGGCCTGCAGCTCTCTAAGGTGACGATCGCTGTCTTCACGCCGAACCTAGGGCAAGCCAGGAGTGAGACGATGTTGCTGCGTTCTCTCGCCGGCACTAGGCCACTAAGCCCAACACGCAAAATAATGTGAACTCCCTGATCGGTGTCAACCTCGCATGGAACAAAACATCTAAATGGGCAACTTGGGGGGTGTGGGACTGGGGGCGAAAGGTAGCACAGAGATTCCAGGGGTGTATCGAGAAGCAACATCAAGTTGCGCCACGTGCATTTAAGCCAAAGTAATGAGGAGAGTATTCCTGAGGCACGCCAAGACCGCTAGCAGCAAGCGGAGCGAATCGGGCGTATGATCCAGATTGCGTTTACCAGCTTGACCCCCTTCCAACTGCCAACGAGGCCAATTTCTGGTGTGGACCTCGAGGCATTCGGATCTGGACATGCGGAGCATGTGCTGGCTTATACCGAGCACAGGCTCTCGTCGCGCCCGGAATGGAAATCCCACCTGGACGACTTCTTGTTCTGCTTTTTGTTCTTGGCAGGCTGCCTCACATCGCGGTCCACGAAGAAGAACTGGAGCAACCTCTCCCAGCCACCCCACATTCTAGCTCCAATCGATGACAATGTGCTTGGCAGCTGTGGCTGCCTAACCTTGTTCCTGCCCTTCCAGGAGTCGTGTAAGAAACTGTTGTTTTGTTGAGCCTCCGCGTGCAGGAGCTGCTTTGGGACTGGGCCTGCTGCTTCATGAACTGCCTGGCTTTTCGCGCTCGGCAGCCACAGAAAGCCATCGGCGGGCCCGGCTCCTGCTAAAGCTTCGCTCCAGCTCTTTTAGCTGCAAGCCCTGACGGAACTGTGGGTCCTTCTGAGGAAGGCTGACTGGCGGGAAAGCTATAGGTACGCTTAGCAGACCACGCTGTCTCGCCATGCGTTTCAGAGTGGTGCTCGAGGCAGCAGGTAAGGGGCTTCTGCTTTGCGGGTTTCTGGTTGCTGAGGCTCGTCTGTCCAAATGGTGCTCACACTAACACACATGCGAAACTCTCAGAAAGTTTGCAAGTTTTGTGCGACCATCGCATTGCAGCCCCTACGTATGTGCAAGCTTTGGGAGGGAGCAGGGGCAACACAAAGGTCTGCCACTCAAGCCACGCTGTTGCCGTTACATAGCTGCAGAGCTGCGACATTCAGCACGACATACAGATCAAGCTGAGTGCACAGGCGAGGTCGCTCAGCTGACCCACAGACAAGGAGAACGCGATATCGTCCTCAGTTTCGTGCATCGGCCATGCTTTCATGAGCATATCAATGACAAAAGAAGCCAGTTCAGACCTCCTGCGTTTGCAACAGAAAAACCTTCCTTCAGCTTGATGAAGGTTTTCGAGGCAGGATTATGTCATGCCTACGTTCACCTCTTGAACGAGACCGGACGAACCCGACAGATTTGGCGCACCTGGTGTCATGGTCAGCATGGCTCTCATCATGACGCCATGATGCGAGCCATGAAGACAAAACATCGAACTGCGGGGTCGATAACCCGGGGAGCGGAACAGAAATCCAGTAGCAGTGACGACGAAGCACACAGCAGACTCACCCGAGCATGGCATGCAGCCGCAGCGCAGATGTCTACAAAGCCTGCTCCCCAAGAGCACATTAAAGGGCTGCCATGGTGCGAATGCCTGGCCGTACTTGCCGGGTTTGACCCAACCTTATCCGTCAAATACTGCGTTGACCGCTCAGAAATATCGTTGATGGTAACTGATGGTATTTGCAAGCCCCAGACTCAGATCACCAACAAGCTCGCCAGCCTTGAGGCAGCTCTGGCCTGAGTCCGAGAAAGTTGCTCCTTTCACGCAGAACACCTGAGAGAACCCAACTTGAACTTCAGCAAGCAGGCCCCGCAAGTTTCCGGCACTCGGACAACTCCTTGCAGCGCTGCGTAAAGATCTTCCTGCAACGGCAACCATACTGCAAAGAAGGCTAACAATCATAAAAATGGACATGCTTTCCCAAGGAACTGCTGATCTCGGTCTCTGGCATACCAGGGTCATTTTGGCACTCTTCAAGCACAGCTCGCAGCAAGCGCTCAGCTTCTCCTTGACCCAAAACCACTCAAGAGCCTTTAGCAACCTCAGATACTCAGGGCGTTTACTTAGTCTTCGCTTGCGGCACCCTCGCCTCGCGAGCGCTTCACCTGCTTGTTTCGCACCTTTTGATGCAAGAAGCTGGAATCAACTCGCCTAAAGCAACATGTTGACCCCTGCCTTGTCTATGGTACTCTTGCACTCGCGATGTTTGAGCAAGATATGTCTCAAGCGAACCTGTCTTTTCGTTCACGAGTGCATACGATTGCATTCAGAGATCAGACTCACAGGTAGGTCAGTTCGGCTGTGCCTGGCTAGGTTCTTCCTTTTTGGCCCGCTTGTGGGCAGGCCCATCTTCTATCCTGCACCAGGGACAAAAAGAAACCTGTTGCGGTGCATCTCAGATGCTCCAGTCCTATCAAAGAAAACGACAATGGATCCGAGGCCAAGATCGCCCACCTTCAGATACTGCAGCTTTTTTGCACTTCGAGAATTTGGTGCTGCTCAAGCGGCTCCAAATGGCTCCAAGCCCGACACTTGGCCCAGCCACTGCACAGCAGCATCGACGAGAGCTCCAGCAGCCATTCTTGCACGAGGCGCGCAGCGTCTCAGATTGCTCAGGGCATTGCAGATGGCATCAGCTCAAGAACATGACTACACTAGTGCCAAACCCCCACTTCCTCGGTTCCTCAAGCTTGAACTGCACAGCTTGGCTGGGCACTTCGACACCGTAGACACTGCTGTACTCTTGCCTATAGCGTTGTACAGGGCCCGGCACCTTGACAAACAACGATGTGTACTGAGTCGGGACTGCATCACTATCACCGCAGCTCTGGGTGTCTGGCACAAACGCTATGCCCAGATGCTGCGGCTCTAGATGCAAGACCTCCACATGCATACAATAACGACACGCAACTTATTCGCATGCACTCTGCTCATGCGCTGCTCGTCGGTATGGGGAATGAAGAGTCTCAAAACACGAGCATGCTATGCTGAACGAAGACCCCAGTGGATGAAGAGCACGTGCGTATAGCGACTCGAGTTCCAGTTGTTTCGAGGCCATGTCACGCGTATAAACACATGCTGACAATCAATATGTCACTGTGCGCCACAGATTGTGATACACCTTTTACAGACGAAATGCGTACTCTTGGCGACAGAGGTTTGCTCTGAATAAGAAATCGCCAGCTCTGCTCCTTTCCAGATGCGGTTCAGAGAAAGCCATTCTCCATTCCCGCTCACAGCAGGAGGCGGGAAGGACCATCAGCTGTGCGAGCCACCTCGCAAGACAATCACGAACAACGCGGACCTTGCACTGCACAGCAAGGGTCTTAGGTGGGGCACTTAAACTCCCACATCAGACAGATGGGGAGCGAAAAGCACGGTGAGCAATCAACACCACTTTGCTACCCCAGCGCCTCCAAACCAACAACTCCCTACAGGCAGATAGCACAAAGCTCCAGCAGCCAGAAAGCCACAGCGCGTCCCATGAACGATCAATCCCAGGCATCCACATCACTGAAGCTGGTAAGCATGCTTGGCCCTGCCCGCATTGTGGGTATCACCCTCCAAGCTGACACGAAAACGGAACTGATTCGCATGTTCACGAAGCATGGACACTAGAACATGCCCGTGAGTGGGCCAGAATTCGCACCTGGATCCACTGGGAAAGCCCGAGCCTCGGGTGGGAATGTCCCATCTGCCCAATCACTGCGCCCTCTCACACCTGCAGAAGTGCTTGAAATACTACGCCTTTGTGATGTCACAGCCGCACCACTTCAAGCCAAGCACAGGAACGATTGTTCCTGGAACGGTTCGCGCAGCCAGAAAGAAACAGTTCCGGAAGGACAGGGCCACCGAACCGGGCTTTGACATTGGTTTCCGCCAGGTTAGCTTGACATGGCAAGGAGGAGAGCCAAGCGCAACCACGGCATCAACAAGCACCATCTCGTTGAGACTAGGCCGGACTGGAAAGTCTGGCACACCCCTGCGGGAAAAGCCGTGTGGACCGGGGCAACATCTGAACCGGCCCACCAATCTCCAGTCTCCCATTACGGCCAAACAACGCCGTGCCACTGAGGATTCCACTTAGAACCGGCAGCTTCTTCCCGAAGCCTACGGCAGGACGAAGGAGTTTTTGGAGGCCAAGCTGTCTCAGCCTTCGACAAACTCTCGGTTCGAGCAGTGAGTTCCTGTGCAAGCAAACGCATACTTTGCCACAAAAGATCAAGACCTTGTTGGCCTCCGAGATTCGCCAGCAAACTATTCAAGATCTCGCTAGGGTTTTGAGATTGCGCAAACAAGATAGCAGGTGTTTCTGAATATGCGCCCATTGGCTTTGATAGGTTATGGCCGGAATCAGAGACGTTGCAGAATTGCGAGGGCGCCGGCGATGACATGTGCTGGCTAGCGCTATAGGAACATCATCGGGGTGATCATTGCCGTCATCATGAGCAACTCATCTCAAACCCGCGACTTGAAAGAAGTACCCCACTCGGAACTCCCTCGAATCAACTTGGGTTTGCGTAGTCACGGAATTAGGGAGGTCCAGGTGGTTTTGGGTACCAGGCTAAAACCGGGGTTCGCCCTCCGGTCCCCAACCACTCCGGAAGCACTTCTCGGCTTGTCCTCGTTCATCTTGGAGCCAGGGTTCTCCCAGCAGATATACTGAGACATGCTTAGAGGCATGTCGAGGAACATGCCTACAGCACCTAAGCGGCCTCTAGGAGCAGGATAAACCTGCCTTAGCCACCAGCAAATGGCATATGTTTGGCTCTGGCACGGGCATGAATTTCCTTCAGCATTTCTCTTTCCGTGATGGCTTGACATGCGAACCGGTCACGGAACAGAAACGGCGAAGCACGACGTGCCGACTTGAAAAAAGTTCGAGAAGAGCCTCGCAGCCCTACGCAAGACCTTGGAGGATCCAGTGACCCAGGCCAGGCCAGGGAATGGAGAGCGGCTCTGATTGTGCTTCGTTTTTTGCTTTTGAAAGCAGGAAAAACACACGCGGTCCAGAAGTGTTTTTCCATGTCTCACAGTGTCTCAAAAAGGGTCACGTGTTTCTATTCCTCCCCGGTGGGAACTGCTTGAGATGCCATCTCGTGGCAGCAACAGAACTAGAGCTCAGTCTTGTCCCCCGCAAGCGGCGGTACCTTGATGTCGGGTGTCGACGACAGCTGAGTAGAGCCGTTGGGCTTCTTCAAGTCTGCATCCCCCAGCCTTGCGCGATCATGCGCAAGAAGCACTTCTCCCCCTTTTAAGTGCTCACAGTAGTGCAATTCTCAGGAATCGTCGATCTTGTCCATTGTATTGGCAGACTCTCTCCTTCGAGTCCTTCAAAGAGTGAAGAACTTCTGGGAAGCCAAGGGGATACCGCAGATGCTAGTCCAAACTTGACCAACCGTAGTACATCGGCCGTAAAAAACTCTCCAAATCGGCTCCTTGTGATGCTTGGGGGACCTCGTCATCCTCATCGTCGTCCTCATCGAAGCCGGGTGCGACCTCCAGCACGCCAAATCTCCTCTTTCAATATCTTGAGCAAAAGGACCCTTACCAGTAATCCCCCGAGGCACCAGGCCTAAGGCGCTTTCTAACTGCAATTTTTTGGCCCGGTTCCATGGTAGGAGTCGACTCAATTTCGGGGCAGTCCCAGAATCCCAGAGCTCCAGCCCAATTCGTGAGCCCCTTTGGATCCCTTCGCAAACTCCTTTGCAAGCCTGTGGCTGTGGCTCTGTGGACTCTGTGGAGCATTCAAAAACCTCCACCCGCCCATGGAGCCGTATGACGTCTGGGCCACCTATTGACCCCTATGGACTGTCATAAGACCCCCCGACCACCTATTCACCCATCTGCACAAGGCCGAGGCGGCGCACGCAGCGTTTATATTGTGTGGCCACGATGTCCAGACGTGCAAACCTTTCTGAGAGCAGAGCATGTGGCTTGAGAAACTCCAGCGCTTCTCCATTTCTCATGCACACCTGGTGCTAGACAGGTCCCCAGCGCAGGATGCAGTTCCCAACAGCCCGCATCCGTTCAAGCAGCCCGCCACCGCAGCTACATCGCCCAACGTCGTGATGACCTGGACAGAAAGGAAGGTGCCCAGCACTGCAAAATACCGAGGCTGTCTGGTTTTGCCTTGAGTCTTCTATATAATCCAGTCGTCCGACCTCAAACCTTCGGTCTCTAACTGCTTCTGCAGATCATCTTACTGGCACAGCCCGATCTGGACATCTTGACGCTGAAAGCACAAGATGTGGCAACCGATGCAACCAAAAAGCATGTCCTCTGCAGAACATTCGGCTCTCTCAAATCGACTATTCACTACTCGCATCCACATTCCCCAATACGTACCCTGTCATTCTAGCTCCCAACAGCCGCTGATTCCGTGAACTTGCATGCCAAACAAATGAACCGGTCACAACAGCGGCTAATACTACAGTTACTAAAGTGTACCTCGCTACCGCGGCTGCCAGCAAAAATGTAGGCTTTCCAGCGAAACTCGTCCAAAAGATTGAGCAGCCGCGAAAAAACTTAAGTAAATGCTCATTAAAAACTGATTGGCTATGGCTTTTGGGGGGATCGCTTTACAGGACTTTTGCTCAGTGCTGCTTTAAACCCCATCGCTTTGCTGGCATCACCCAGCAGGATCCTTTATCTCGAAGCCTAAACCCTGGCTCTCACCAGACTGGAAAGCAGTCTTTCTCAAAGCGCCCTTGCCTTCAAACGACACCCAAACCTTGAACCCAACCCTTAAACCTGAGGCAGCAACAACGCGATGTCCCGAAACCAGGGCAACGGTGGCACAACATCCATCTGGAACACCAGGATGCCTGGAGCTGCAATGAGCTGCAGGGGCCAGGGTGGGGGACAGGGATCTCTGTGGGGTTTCAGGATGCGCTATGGACTCAAGGACGCAACGGCTCGCAACACTCTTCAGCACTTTGGGGAGGGCACTTCTCCGTGAACTCCGCGTCCAACTCCTCGAAGCCTTCGAAAGTCTCGAAAAGTGACTTAAGCGGCTTCACGATGCTGCACGATGCTTCACGGACCCAAGTGTGCACAAAGATTGCCGCATATTGCCGCCCTTCACCAAGAGCTTGGCTTTCTCGCATTGCCACCTCCAGTCGTGTATCCTCTCATGCGGCAAGTGCCAGCATCCAGCTGTAGGTCGGTTTGGAAAGTGACGGATTGACAACAAAACTGAGCTGACGAACCACTCAATGAATCTATGCAGCTCCTCCCAGAATCCACGAAAGGCTGCAAGCTTTGGAAGTAGTTTTTGGTGCAGGTGCTTGACCTGCAAGCAATCTACGATATGTACTCCTTCTGAGTGCTGAATGAGTCGGCTTGACTGAGAGTGCCACGCAAAACTCTGCGCAAGCGTTCGCCGTTCCTTGCGGAAGGAAACAGGGCTTAGCCAACTCTACAGCGCAGTAGCTCTCTGCATGAAATAAACCTGCTCTATCCTGCCCTTATCCGTTCCATGCCAATGTTGAGGTACATCCAAGACATGTGAAAGGCCGCTCATCCTTTCTCTTCTCTGCGACGAGCCGGGAGGGACGACAGCCGAAACAGATGTGCCACGTAGCAAATGGGATGGCATACCCTTAGGGCTTAGGATGGTTTAGGATTTAGATGGACTAAGGCTTCAGATGGCTTCAGATGGCTTCAGGGCTTGGGAAGTTCAGGGCGAGTTTAGGGCAGACTGGTCTTTCTGGAATTTCTTCTGACCATCTGAAGATCCTCGAAAGGTTCACGCACACTCACACAGCAACAACTTGAAGCACGTCGTCCTGAGCTAGGTCGACCTCGGTGGCCCTCGTACAACGCGTACATCGCACAGGGCCTTGCTGTATCTAGCTTCGGACATCCAGACGAACAGAGATTTCAAGCCGGTCGAAATGTTCGGGCCTGTCGAGATGTTCGATCGACATGCGCATCGCCTACCAGGGTATGCTGCATACGAGCGGAAACCTGGAGTCAAAAGCACACCAAGATGAGCCTGTGCAGCTTTGGCCAGGTCTCTCACCAACACGTGTCGAACTTGAGAAGCCTGGCACCAGTACAGCACAACCCGCCAATGCAGCCCTTTCCAAGGCCTAGGCACGCTGGCCTTCTCATGAAAGCAGGCACCCACTGCTATCCGAACATCATACGGCTGGCCATCGTACAGCCTTGGCTCACTTGACGCACAGGCTGCTAGGCGAAGGGCGACTATGCAATCTTCGTGCGCCTTTTCAGGGTGCTTTGCCTGGGGATTCAATCGTTACCTTTGCTGAGAACTTGACAAGGAATACTTCTGCATGACGGCGTCGTAGGCGTATGTCAAGCCATCGTCACAATTCCAGTAAACCTCAAGCACTTCAGTCTAGACTCTTGTACGCATCAGAACGCGCAGCGCACAATACGCCAAATCGCCTTATGCTGCACTTGCCAGCCAGTCAGAAAAGGTTTTTGCTCCAACAACCAGCAGATGCTTCTCATTGTTTCTCTGCAAGTGCTACCATTGTGCCACTCTTTGATGGTGGGCAGGCCTGGCGCTTGTCATTGTAGTACAGAGGCTTGCCCTTTTCCACCTTTGGCAACAGGGTAACATGGGTCAGTATCTGAAGCCAGTTTACCACAATCTCCCCAGCACTTGAGAGGTCCTCGACATGTGCATACAGAAAACTCTCACCAAACCCAATCCAAACCGAACCTCTGTGGGGGCAGAACATGGCAGAACGCTGGTGCATAAGGCGCCCCGAAATCCATTTAAGAACACCGTGCCTGCTTGAATCCTTCAGGAACTTTCCTCGGACCGGCCTGGGCGTTCGCCTGCAGGAAGAACTGCGTGGCACACTAGGTCACTGACAGCTGGAGCAAATTTTTTCGCATGTTCTGTCTATCATCACATATCATCACCTATCGCGGCACGATGCTCAGATATGCTCAGGCCTGTTGCTCCTGCAGCTGAGCCTTGATCTTCCACATCGGTGTTCCTGAGTAGCCCGCATTTGGCTTGTCCTGAAAGGAAGAGTAATTGAAGTAAGGGAGTACTAGGGAGTAAAGGGAGTCGAACTTGTGACCTGCTGCAAGGGTGACAGCTGCCAACTCCGCACCTCCCAGTGTCTGGCGTTTGCTGATTGGCTTCCCCTAAGTGGTCTCAGTCTCTCTGGAAAAGACAAGCACAGCTGCTGCGCAGTTACCTGTATGGGCCCCCAACGGAAGCGGTATATCTGACATGCTTTGGCTGCTCGCAAAGCCTCGAAGGAAAGCTGGATTTGTGCAAACATCATTACGCAAAGCTTCGTGAGTTCGGCACGGGCCCATGGGACGACACAGACCTCGAGCAATTGGTACTCAAAAGTCTCAACAGTGCTAAGTTGGGTTTTTGTTTGTCTTGGCACCCTGCATGACACGGGAGTATGGAGCAAGGCTAAGGCAAACAGCGTAAGCATTGGCAGCGGGCGCCGGTGCACGTTCATGCTGCACACTGCTGAAATCACTGCACCTGTCTGACACCTGAAGTTCTCATCAGGCCCCTGAAGATTTTCGCGGCAGTCAGGGACCAGCCAGGATGCTTGGTGAGACGTGGCATGCAAGCAACAACTTGTGGTGTGGGCAGCATGTATATGGTTGTGGTTTATGGCAAGTTGCAACGTATGATAACGTATGAAACTTGAGCACCGTGAGATCCATGCCGCCAGTTTCAGGCAGTCTCGGTCTCAGCGCCTCAATTATGCGGTGCAACTGCGGTGCATGTCTCAAGACCTTTAGTCTTTCCCAGTTCTGAGCCGACCGCTGACCGCAGCTGCGGCGGCAGCGTGTTGCTCAAGCAAAGCTGCTGCCTTCTCCAATCGTTCCTCTCACATACTCACCTTCTGTTGCACATCTTCTTCACCGCGATCAACGCGCTGTCCTCGTTCAACAAGTCCACAGGCACTGGTATCTCACAGGCCTTGGACTGAACACAAGGTGACTCATAAACATGGGCAGGACCCACAACAAGGTCGCCGTGCACAAGCGTAGCCACAGTTTGGCTGCGTCCAGTATACTGAGATGCTAGTGCACACACGGCTGCCAGCTGAGTCAATGACCTGAGCATCCTTGATGCTTCCCTTCAAACTTCATTTTTCAAGCTGTGACACCACGAAGAGGTCAGCAACAACAGGGTTCAATAAGCTGACCATACTGACCATGCAGACACGCGCCTTGAACTCTGAAAGTAAGTCGCTGAGCACATTTGCGGCCGCTGCCTGGGCAGCGGGAGCTAGCTGATGTAGAAGATTGACGGAAGGCTCCGAAGTTTTGCAATGTTTTGATGTGTGTAGGGGCGGAACAGCTTCTTCCGCTGCAGTGGAAGCAGCATCTTTGGCCTCAGCGAAACCTTCGTTCCCCTCCTCCATCGCTTGGACCTTGGTCGTAGGCCGATCAAGCCAGATCGTCGGCTGATCACCATCACGATGCTCAAGACAATGGGCTCCGAACAGCTGAAGACGCTGTTGCAGCGGCGTCGATTTTGGCTTCTGCCGTCACTATAGACTCTTGGAAGGCCACAGCTGCATCCAGGACCCGCAACCTGAAGAATCAGCTACAGTGACTGAAGATGTGCCACCACACCGAGCCACTTGAAAACTAGACTTCTGAGGGCAGTGCTTGCGCGTGCCGTTGTCCATCAGATCAGGATCGTAGTTCTGGCAGGATAGGAGGACATGACCGACCATGAAAGACGATTGTGAGAAAGACTCTGTCGGCCGCACCCTTGCACCTGCGACATCAGCCTCCGAAAGCGCTGCCTTTTCAGGACTGCGAACAATGAACGAGCACAGCGGAAACATGCAGAGCTATGCAGCGCTATGCAAGGCTGCTGATGACGCTGAGCAGCTCTTAGCGGCTCAGGATCCACGCCTCCCATTGAGATTTATGTGATACAAGAGGTCGCATAGGACGCAACATGTTCCGAACACAGAGCCGAGGCACGCTTCTCGTCGAAACAGAGGATCTTCAACACCGCGCACTTCTCCATACCTACCACGCTCTGCTAAGCGACTAGGCGTAAGGTTGCGTGAGTCTGTGTGCGCAACTGGTACTGGTAACCATTGAGATCTTCTAAGAATGGGACGTGAGTGAAGTGCGCCCCGCAACTCGCTCCGTGCACCCGCGAAGCTGGATCCTGGGACGCCTCCGGGCCTTGAGCAGCTCCAGTACAACCCAGTACGACTCTATTTGATCTACCGTGATGTACATCAGAAAGCAGGTTGATCTTCAAAAACCGCAGACTCTTCGAGGTTTCAGCACTGCTGCGCGCTCCTCCCGCCACTGCCGCAGCTCCTCAACTCTTGATGCCACTTGACCCCTTCATGCCCCTTACACAGCTCTTTATTGCCAACACAACCCCGACCAGTTCTCGCATGCCAATGCTGCCGATGGATTCTCACTGCTCTCCTGTATTTGGTTGGCGTTTCGCTCCTTCGCCACCTCAATGCTCAAGGAACTCGTTCTTTGGTACCAACATCTTCTGTACAAGCCCAGATTGCTGCCTCAAGCCTCTCCTTGGCAGATTGCCACCTGGCAGTGTGCTTAGGTGAACGGAGCTCCAGTGACCGAGACCAAAAGTCATGCTCCCACCTTGCAGTAGAGAGTTCAATTTCCAATTCACGAGCTTGTCGCTCACCATCCGTACCCAAAGCCTTCACTGCCACAGCCTTCAGCAGGAGGTGTTATAACGTGCACATGAACACTACTGCAGCAAATTTTTGAGGGCGCCTCGGTATCCTCTGCAGAGACCTCTTCAGCGACGAGCCCTGCTCGGCTGATGCTGGTCTGATCTAGTCTGCACAAGCATCACTGACTGTAGCATAATTCGCTGACAAGCACAGTGAGGCTCACCATCAGTGTCTTCTGCAGGGTTCCATTCTGGCCTGCAGAGGGTATGGCATAGAGTCATAAAGCAAACCGCAATGCCCACACTCAGTCTGACCTTTGGCACACCGACTCCCACAAAGTGCAAATATATGCAAACCTGCATAAACATGCATTCCCGCGCCTGTCGGGAGCCACAGTGTACGGATCCTGGCAGCTGTGCACCATGCTGTTACTCGTAACTGAACCACTACTGAATCACCGAAGCTTTGCTCTTGCCTCTTGAATGAGAACAGCAGGCGTGTCTGCGTGTCCACACCTTAGAAAGGAGTCTCGACTCTGTGTGGCCCTTGGCCAGGCGCGTTTTTGGAGCGGACTGTGGCCGTCCCAGGTGCAAACAGCACCGCTACCCACTTGCCCCACTTGCCCCACTTGCCCCACTTGCCCCACTTGCCCCACGAGCAGGGATGTTAGGGTTGGGGTGTGCAGGGGTTAGGGTTTGCAGCGTGCAAGACGTGTGTTGTCACGTCAAATATTCAAAGATTTCCTGACGAGAACCGGACCCGGTCCCCATATAAAGTGGAGCAAGCGGGACTCGAGCGGGACTCAAGCAGGACTTAAGTGGGGCAAGTAGGGCAAAATCATGTAGTGGGCTGTTTGTTGGAGGTCCGGTGGCTGATGTCTCATCACGGGCCTGCAATTTTGCTTGCTGGCCAAGCACACCGAACCATTCCACGGCCCTGGGTGCATATGTGCCCATACGTGTCCATATGTATCCATGGCCTGAAGCCTCAACAAGACTCAACAGTCGGAGCATCGGCAGATGCCCAAGGGGTTCACTCGTCCTCGTTTGTCCAAACAACGGCATAACATGTTGCTCACAAAGACGGCAGTCTTGCATGACCTTGAAGGCTTTTCCTGCTAGCAGTGTGCTGCGAGTGCGCACCTCAAATAAGTACCCCATAGGCCTTGCCCAGCTTACACAGTCCGCCCGAAGAAATGCTGGAGGAGAATCACCGGCCAGGGCATTGAAAGAGCAGAGCATGGAAGAGCCGAAAGAAGCCGAAAGAATTCGTCTTAGATCTAAGGAGGCCACAAGAACTTGGCGATGCTGCTATTGGGATGCGTGACCTCCCGAGTCCGCTCCAGGACAGCCATCACCTCCTCCTGCTCCAAGTTGCTGCTCAAGGATCAAAAAGGAAATAGAATCGGATAGAATCAGATAGAAAACCGGTTCTCGCTTCTCAGACTCGAGAGGCTCCTCTTCGGGGCTGCGCTCACCAGTATCCTGACATAGGAGTGCACGAACATGTGTTGATTACGTTGCCTTGTGGGACTGCCTCATCACCCCCATGACCAGACTTCTTGGACACCCAGGCTTCACGCCTCAGAAGCGACGTAGACAAGTCTGGCACATGTGTGGTTGACTGTGCGCAAACAAGTACAAGTAATCATAGAACGAACACGAATGAACAGTTGTTCTACAGGCGTTCCATTACTGATCTTCTTTCGATCTCAGCGTCACGCGTCTCTGCTGCCTTCTCGGAGCGCGGTTTTGCGTCTCCCTCCTTTACCAACCACCGGAATGGACTGAAGGGCCGGCAAGATCACTATTCTGGCTGTCTGCCCTTTGGCACACACATGTCACACCTGCGGAGATTCCCAGGACTTGCGAACCAGTTCCTGGCAGAAGAAGCCGAATGAATGATTGGTGGCCACTGAGAGCTCTTCCCGGCATTTGCACCTCCAAGTCCTGCTCCATTGCATCAGGTCCGACCTCACACTGTACCGCAGTGACATATAGAACATGTAGTGACACTTGCAGAGGCTGCGGAGAATTGCTAGTGCACCGAAGAGACCTCCAAGGAGCCGGAGCCAAAGCTCTCAAGAAGCCAAGCTCCGCCTTTGGTAACACATTTCACATCGATGCACACTAAAGCGACTCCATGGCGTTCCCGTCGGACAGATTTCTCTCTGAACATCCGACCATCGAGGCTGGCAGGGCCCCTGAACTGGTCCAAATGCACGTAGAGGAGGTAGGTCCTCAGAGGCAAGGAGCCACAAGGGCCCCCCTGTTGTTCGGCCACACTGAAACGTGTCTTGGAAAGGCAAAGGCGAAGCTTGTCGTAGCAGCACGTGAGAGAAGGATACGATCTGGTGCAAGAGCCATATGTCTTGCTCATCTACGATGTACGCTGTGTTCTGTGCCCAGTGTTCCGAGACTTGCCTCAAGCCCGCTGGTTTCGGCCACCTTCTTGCATCTTGACAACCAATTCCTGGAGTACAAGTCTGTGACTGCCACACGCATGACTCATCATGACTCATCATGACTCCATGCGAACTCCATCTGGCCCACTCCTCCGACCGCTGTAATCTCTTGGATTGATCGGTGCCCCCGGCACCAATGGCTCTAGTGGATTCCCTTCTGGGTCGGGTGGTCGCCTGCGCAGGCACTCCCACAATCAGCAACTCTTGACTGGTACTAATTGGTCATGCATGCTGCATCTGCGCTGAGCTGCCAGCATATCCTCGGTCGGAGGCATTTGCGCAACGAGAGTAGCGCGAAGAAATGCCTGGCATGGATCTGGGATCTTTCAGTACGTTTGCGAGAGACCAAGGCTGTGATGAGGATTCTATTATGGGGCAAACCTCGAAGCCCTTCATCCTCGAAGTCGTTGCACTAACGGGGAAAAGTAAACCGAAGTTGTTCTGAAGAAGGATGTGAGGAAAGGGGCTAGTGTACGTTCATATGACTCACCCCTGTCTATCCAAATCAATACAAGAGTGAAAGAGAATCGCACGGCTGTTGCCTTCACGACTCAACACATTAACTCCTAGAGACAGAGGCTCATGGGCTAGTAGAAAAAACCCCAATACAAAGCCAAGAACGAACCGGGGAAAAGGTAATAAGAACCCGTGAAGATAGAAAGCTCAGGCCGATATTGGCAATGAACGTGTAACTTCTTCCAGATTTGCTACGAAGAAACAACTGATGTCAGAATGTTGAATTTTGAGTTGTAATTCGATATTGGATGAAACTAAAAACGTTACAGTTACAGAAGCTTCCTTGATTCCCAAAAGCCTCATTTTACAACCTTGCAAATTAAAGGAGAACACCCACAAGCACTAATTGTAAAGCCATGAACAACCTTTCTATCTTGGGCTCACAATATGAGGGCAAGGGCTTGTCGTTCCGTACCTGCGGGAGCCGTTCCACGGTGATGCGCAGAGTGCTTGTGACATCTCCTGCATTAGAAGTCATTTGACGAGCATGCAGCGGTCAGCACATGACCACAACACAAGACAGCAAGCAAGGCACCATCTGCAGGAACAGTGATGCGCTCACAGAGAACCAGGCCCTTGTCCTGCCATGTTGGTCTGATAAACAGTTGCAACAATGAGACGGGCAACCCAGGCAGGCTGGCATTTTCGGAACAGTCACCCTGCCAGCGCATCACCTTGTCCACGGGCAACATGTGAAGCTGCAGGGGCACCTGGCAGCAGACTGGCAGCAGTGAGTGGAATTGATGGGACCCTTGGGGGACCTTTGGCAACTCACAACACGTTCTTGGCACTCATCGGCGCACCTCGTCGACGAGGCCATCTTCTCCGTCTTTCTCGGCACCTGCAAATTCGTGGCGACCGTAGTTCTGCAGCTTGCATCCAGGACATTTGCTGACTTGGGCCTTCCGAAGGATCTTCAGGCTCCGGGGCTGTTCCAGGAGGTCCAAAGATCCTTGTAACAAGTCTTTTTGCAAGACATCTCCGGCGGGAGTGCCGCTATGAGGGCGAAAGGATCTTGAGGCTTCTTCTGAATCGAAATCTCACCGCCGGTTTTTGGAAGCACCTGGCATCCACGTGACGGGATGCCAGTCTCATGACGGGTGGTCCAAGATCCACATAGCCTCCGGAGGCAAGTTGGCCTCCAGCATGAGAACATACCTGGGGACTAGGCTCACTAGACGTGACCAAAACGAAAGCCAAACGAAACGAAACGGCTTTCCAATTTCATCTCACCCCTCAAACCAACGGTCGCACTTGGCCGGTCCAGTGGCCTCCTGCACATGACGCAATGATATGCAAACTGCGAACTTCTGCAACGTTGGGTGGCAACATGCATCAAGTTGGAGCCAGAGCCCACTGCTGTTTTGAGTTTGAAGGTATGAAGATCAAAGGAAGATGCAATGAAGATTGATGGCTGCTGACTGCTTGCGGCCTCATCTTCCAAGGGCAGAGACCTTCCACAAATTGCAACCGTCCATGCAGACCGTGGCGGTTGAACATCGGGGTCCCAGCATAACACGAAGCAGTGGAGACTTCAGCACGGTCGACACAGACCTGAGAGCTCCCATCCAAACTGAACCCTGAGAATGAGTTTTCCATGACGAGAAATATTTGGGCCTATGTAACAGGAAGGCCTTGGAGCACAACAGGAGAGAGCCTAACACGCAGAGAAAAGCCCTAGAGGGCCTAGCCGAAAGCACCCCCACTTGTATCAGCAGGCGCCAGGGAGATGTAGCAGCAACCACAGGGGATCGCAACAGGCTACAGGCAAAATTAAAAGGGTGGGAGGAAGGCGATGCACACCTGTGGGATGTGTTGGGCCTTGGGGTTCATTTTAGGGTGGTGGGCAAGCTGGTTTTGAGATTGAGGTATGGGTGTGTGTGTGTGTGTTACAATGTGGACGGATGTTCCCCCTCCATGGAATGGTTTGAGCCCCTGGGGTTTCCCGACGGCACCTAGCGGAGCGTTTTGCTGTATGAAACTCCAAGAGCTGAGCTGTTCAGGCAGCATTGACCGCATCGTGGCGCTACCCAATGCAAAACAACGCAAATGTAGCACAGGGAGCGATTGGGACGATTAAGACGAAGGTTACCGACAAAGCACTAGTTGCTAAAGGAGCATGGACAAAATGACTACAACCGCTTCTGAAGCCGTGTGTGATGAAGCACACAAAGCAGAAAACGTAGTGTGGTGAAGGTTCAGGCGATGTCAATATAAACAGAAGAGAGCAGTTCCGAAGGTATCCCAAAAAACAGAGAAGGCAGGCAAAGCTAGAATGGGTTTTGCTAAGAAGTGAGGCTTCCCTGTACTCGCAAGTCTACCGGCCGCCAACAAAACCGCAATCAGCGTAGCGAACAAACACATCTAGTTACGGAGGCCGGAAGAGGCGTATGCCTCGTAATTGCCACTCCCCCAGTCCCTGTTCCAAAAGACGCAACCCCTCTCCCCAGCAAGAAAACCGGGAAAATCACAAGACCCGGAAGGCGAAGATCGTGCATTAAAAATAGAAAGCGGAATGAAGAAGGAGGGTCACTTCGTGTATATTTGAAGGGCATGTGGAATTTACTTGAAACGTTCGGTCGAGACTGCAAAGACTGTTCAGAGCTAGGTGAGTTTACAGAAATCTGACACTTGAACCAACATGGACATTATGCACATTATGCAGTTTGCTAAAGCTTGATGCGAAAACACGTTGCTGACGAACCCCAAGTCCCAAGGATCCTAATAGCCTAAAGGGCCCAAGCAATGGCACAAAACTACAAAACGTTCTGGTACGGTATGGTATGGTGTGGTGTGGTTAAGATAACACACCTTGCCAAGCTTGCTAGCGACCACAAATAAAGTTTGTTTTTGCCGTGTTTTGCTCTGGAACACTCCTGAACACTCGCGAAACCTATTCCATCCTCGGGAAAAGGGCGCTAAATACAGACCATATATCTTCACCGAGTCCTGCGCAAGCACAAGAAAGCATGTGTGGTTCCGAAAGAGAAGATCACTGCATTCACCGTTGAAGGGTTCCTTCTATGACCATACGAGCGTCACATGAAGCACAGAGGCTGGCATAATACTTCATGGCGAACTCAGCTCTGGCATGAACTACTGCAGACTAGTGCATGAGGCAAAAACCCAGAGCTCATGGCAATCACTCAGCTCACGGCCAACTTGCGCAGCGATTCTCCAAAGGGTCGTCTGCCTTCGCCTCCTGCATCCAAGCCATCTGCAAGGGTCCGAGACCAGTGTGGCACTGCTGAAAAAAAACCATGTCCAGTTCTGACACGCGCAGGCATGACCTGCTGGAGGGTACCAGAAACAGAAGTGAGAACTGCTAGAACAGATACCAGGAGATAGCAAGAGGAACAAGTCCACTTGCTGAGGATCTTGCAGCTGGATGTAAGGCCACAAGGTCGCATCGGTCAGGTGGCAGAGAAGCTGCAGCGTTTGCAAGTCGCCTGCGTAAGCCTGCAAAGTTGCAAGCTGCCTCCATCTTGACCATTTTGACCCTCATTGTCAAATGGTTCCAGTGGGTTCCAGTGTCACACGGTACCTCTGACACCAGAATCTCCGACTTTGCCCAGACCTGGACAGGCATAACAGAATAATTCAAAGAGGTGGAAACGATACAAAGGGTTGCACGGAATACCTCTTTCGGAAACCATGTCTCAGGTCGCGGCACAATACCCGGTGTGAATTGGATACTGGAGTGGGCCGACCTTGCGATCTGAGAAACTCCTTTTCTTTTCCACAACGCAAAGTCGCAAAGGCTAAGGCTGGTAGGAGCGCCATCTGGTATTTGGCCAAAGCCTTTGCCGGCTCCACGAAGTCTACTGAGGACCTGAACACTGACTAAAGCAGCTCAAAGGTCTTAATGCTCCGAAGGACATGCCAGGACAGGGACTTTCCACCATTGAGCAGCAGCCCCTCAACCTCAGTCACGTGGGAATCACGTGAGAATCGTTGGGTCGTTGGGTGCAACATGCCGATGGGACAGCATAGACTGGGTTTCTAAGGCAGAAACGCTGACCGACAGCACCGAACCCGCCAGCTCGGCAGCGTCGTCGCTCACCAGGTACCAGTGCTCACCTGCCGCGAGCGATTGGCGACAGAGACTTCCTGTGAGATGGACAAAAACAGAGAGTTGCAGGTTGAAGGGGAACTAGCAAGGCTTCCGTCAAGGTGTCGGTTCTTGGGGCCTTTCTTGGGGCCAAGCTTGGGTGTGATCATCTCCCTGATCTCATACTCTCCGGTGCAAGCTAAGAGCACTGATGTAAGATCCAGATCTGATGCAGCCTCTCAGTGTTGTGCATGTTCATGACCAAACACTTGCCGCAAGCGTGAACACACTCCTCGACAGCTTCTAGTGCATCTCACAAGCAACAGCCTGGTGGTAGGAGTGATGAGTAGCTTATGCTGCTCGGCTGAGACCCCTCGCCAACCTGAAAGAAGAAGCCGCCACTTCACAGGGATTCAGCCAAGGTCGGTAGCAAAGTGGAATAGCCGGTGGCTTCGGTGGCTTCCCAGATCTTTGGCTGAGGGGGGCTCCGTGAGATTGATGCAATCGGGCGGCTCCAGAGCCTGCGACCGAACCGATATGAACCAAGTTCGGCACTTCAACTTCAACGTAGCTATCTTGATCTATCTTGTGGCCTGCTGGCTGCTGGGTCTCCAACTGTTAACGGCCTGGGTGACCAGGCAAGTAACTTGTACAAAAGCTCACGGCCACGTTCACAGTGCCTGTAGAACACAGCTGCATGGAGAGGCCGTTGGCGGAGACTGCAGCAGCCCCACCGCAGAACAACCCCACTCTTGGCGACAACAAAACCTCAACTGCCAGGCAGCACCAGCCTCTGACAATCGGCCATTCTGCTTCAGTGGCTCGTAGCTGAAGACCGTCTGCAGCCTCTGCGGATGCACAGGTGTACAGGATATGTTTGTTCTGGGACTTGATGCGTGCAAAATGCTGTGCGATCCAAGGGGCCAGGGGGGTCCGGGTGTTGGCTTGGAATCACCAGCTGCTATCCCTGTCCTCACGATAGCAGTGAAGTCTCGGCGCGCACGTCTCTCACAGCCGTTTCTAAGACATCCCCCAGTGCCTGGAAGTTCCTTGCTCCAGCTCTTGCAGCACTAAACAGATCCGCAGAAGACAGGTCTTGGGAGGCAAGAAAGCCTCCATGGCAGACACACGTTATCAGACTCAGCACAAAGAATGACGCTTTGCCCGCAGCTAAACAATGAAAAGCCTGGAGTCCTTGCCTGCGCACGTTCTCCATCCCAGCACGTATCCAATGTGGCTGTGAGAACATGTTCGCCAGGAGGTATGTAACCTGCCAGCACTTTCCTGCAGCTGTTGCCATCCAGGAGATGGCAGACAGCAACTTCCACTCGGGGCCCCACTGCAGAAAGTCGCAGTTGTTCCTTCAATTTCTTCGAAGCTGACCCAACATCCCCCTTGGAGCCTCGGCTCATATCGTGTTCGATGAGCGCTTTCCATATCAGCACACCGCAGCACACCGCAGTACACCGCGGCTGAGCGCGAGGCTGCGCCTGGAATTCTTGAATCGAACTCTTCCTGTTTGGTGGGGACATTTGCTTAAAAGTGTACAATCATGCACACATCTGCTGCAGTGTTGGCGCATCGAGGCCCTTGCATCAACAGCGGATGGGGGTTTTGGTTCGGCCACGGTGCTACCCACGGCCTAGCAGTTTGGCTCCAGTCTGTCGCATTCTGAGTAGCAAACAGCATCAACATCAAGAAGAAGGAGAAGACGTCCTAGTCCTCAAAATGTCTTCAACTGTCTTAAAGAGTGTTTCAAGGCCCCTGCATATCAGACATTTCTGGCTCCTCCTCTTGTTCCAACTCGGCCCCTTTCAGATGACAAGGTACAGAGACAACACTCAAACACACGCAACAATGCTTGCGCCTTCACCACTTTGGGATCCACCCTAGCGAGGGGCAATCAAAGGCTTATAAACTAAATGCAATCAGGAAGGCTAGCACAAGTCTGCAAGAGAACCACAACATCGGCATGGGATCCTGATCTGTCGTTCGCTTCTCCACACCCTCCCCTTCGCCAGAGTGCGTATTTTGTGAACGTCCGTCATCATCCTGACACGACAGGAATTCAGCTAAACACAGGTCAACCTCGGCTCAACCTAGTTCACCGAAACCTCATCAAGGTCGTCCCGGTCGGAGTCGTCTACCTGCGCACGGTCGGCACTCTAGACAGCCTTGCAGTACAGTGTGGCACGGGGCGGCACTGGTGTGCCATCAGCCTACACTTCTGAACTACTTCTAAGCAAACATCTGCAAGCCGAGGCTCTTCCTCATCTGCTCGGACAGGCTGCCCATCCTCGAAAAGAGTGCAAAGCTTTGGTAAGCTCGCATGATGATCACTTTGGTGCCACATGATGTCTCGAACTCAAGCATCAGGTCAGCCGCAGAATCGGAAACTGTAAATACATCGGAAAATGGAAAATCGCACAGTCGGGACCGGCGTGGCCTTGAGCGCACCGGTGACATATCTTTCATCCCCCCACCCCCGCCCCGACCCCCACTCCCCACCCCCCACCCAACCTCCACCTCCACCCACCCCAACCCAACCCCCTCCCCGCATCCCCACGACCCCCACCCCCAACCCCCGTTCCTAAATCACGTGGTTTCCTGAATCGTGTGGTTTCCTGTTTCCTGAATCGCGTGAAGCCGGTACTCTGAATCGCCTAGCTTCTAGCACCACGGTTCCTGAATCGCCGGAGACTTCTGAATCGTGTCCAGTTTCGGCATGGCGGTCAAATCTAAGCACAGGAACGATGTGCGGATCTAGTCCAAGGCGCCGTGTTTCCCGCATCGGCTGATCCATCTTCTTCCTGACCGTGCTTCAGCATACACGGATCATCACACCATCCGCTGCACCTGATGTACAGTACACGCGACAAGATGTCTCCTCGCTGTCTGCGTCTCTCACCTGTTTGCGAGGTGTGCCTAAGTCAGGCATGGCTGTCCGAGACACATTGACATCAGGAGCTCATCACGCCGCAGTGCACACACACACACACAGCTGAGGCACCATGTTGAGCAACAAATGCATCCGCCTTCAGGCGCACCTCAGGACGACCAAATACCACAACAAGCTCAAAAAATGCTTTCCTTCTCTCTCAACCAGCAGAAAGGCTCAAGGCCGGAACCTGTCGCGGCTCTTCCTCCGTCTCGCAGACGAGAAACTCCAGCAAGGCCTAGCGCCCCAGACATCTGCGTCTGCGGATGAAGCAACTTGCACTTGCACATGTACCTCCTGTGGCTGATTTCCCAATTTCAGGTTCTGCTCCTGTCCTGCACAGACGTCTGTGGATTGTAGGTCCTGTAGGACTCTTTATCATACTCTGTGTCTCCACTACCAGCACAAGCCGTGTCCTGGCGGAAAAGCCGGGGCCTGGCATGGGCTCAGAGTCGCTTGATTTGTTCCATTTGTTCCCTTCCGAAGTACCAAGAAATTTGGCCTGCATCGGTGCGACCGACTTCCGGCTCCCGGCTTGAGCCTTGCGAAATCAGATGGGTCTTAGACAGCGAAGGACAGCCATCACAGCTGCCCCGTCCTCAGCCTGGGGAATTGATGGCATTAACTCAGCCCGTTGTCGAGCTTCAAAGTCAACCTCCAACACAGGAATCACAGGACCAGAAACCACAGCGAAACTACTCGAGCCAACTTATCCACAGATCTCTGCGCATTGAAGTGCCTGTGAGCTTGTTTGCAAAGTGCAAAACGTCCGAACAGCTTTGAGCCCTTGCAGTGCGGACCAGGACAGCGGCCTGCCGATGTAACGATGACGAGACTGCTAGAGAAGCAAATAAAGACGCACATGGCATTTGGATTCAGAGATGTTCTGAATTGTGTTTTTCAAACTCGTCAGGCAGGCAGCTGGTAGGGCACCCAGCCCGTAAGCGCTGTAATGCAAGGCCTTGGCACTGCCCTTTTCCCATCAAAGCAGCTAGCTAGCTTCTCGAAGGCCCGCACAGAAGTGGCATGTTGAGGTCGTCCTGGAAGGCTTGAATCCTTGGAAACACTCTGCTAAGCATTGCTACGCTTCCTACCAAAGCACAGTTGAGAGCTCAGCTCTCAACATGCTGAGGCTGTTGCAAAGCCTTTGACAAGAGCTGTGGCCAGATGATGTTGATGTCCTGATGGCTTGGAAGAAGCGAGGCCTCACAGGAGTACCAAGTGCCATATTAGCGATTCCTTGATGCTTGACATTGTTGAGCTGGGGCCCACCTGGGACCCGGACATATGTATTGTTACCATGCATCGCGTATCCAACTGGAACTACATCATCAATGGCAACCTTGCTTTGTCCGAGCAGAGGCAAAAAACAAAACGTCACACAGCGAACACTTTTAGGCGAGCAGCTTGTCTCCATTTGCCCTGAACGAAAAGCTTGACAACGTACTTTCCATGAGGATTGTACAGCCTGGCGATGTCCGGCGCTGTGACAAGTCGTTGAATCTTCACATGAAGGACATGGGAATCTTGTATCGATAAATGTCGAGTTCTGCCTCAACCCTCAATGTGATGACATTTGCAACATGTTGCGTTCCAGCTCTGAGGTGTCAGATCTAGTTTTGAGGCAGTGGTTTGGTTTGTGTTTGTTGTCGTCTATCTGCTGGTTCACCACACCAAAGCCAAGTCAAAGCTGACTAACTAGAACCATTGCAAGCTGAGGGCACCCAAGCAATATTCACCTGAACGGCAACTAGAATAACTAGATCAGCAATGAAGGTAATCGACTCTCAACGAGCCTGAAAATCAGAGAACTTGCCCGCTAGTTGGCTTCTACATGCCATTACGATCATCCATGACCATCCACTGTTCAAGAAGACCAACGTGCAGACATAAGTTGATGCTTGAGAAGAGCTCAGGGCCCAACTTTTATTGAAAATACTACTCCAGGATCGAGTTAAACAACTTGTATGAAGTGACTTGAACTGACCCAAACTGGATGTTGGACATAGGGGGCAACACTGTGAGCCTTGTCTATTGGAACTTGACTGAACTTCCATGGAAAAGTTCCATGCAGGGGAATGAAGAATGAAGCAAGGCAGGCATGGCTTGGCACCTCGATCCCAGCATCCTGCGACAAGACATGCCAGGGAGTCGGCAGTCCTTCTTCGTCCTGTGGGTGTATCAATTCCTGCAAGGTCGAGTTGGAACTGGGATAGCCGCCAACAGCGTGACGCAAAGCGACACAACATGATAATCTGCGGGGTCCCACAGAAAACACCCCCCAGGAAGCAGAAGTCTGTGTTCTGCCACGGCTGCAATCTGAGAAGCGATAGCTTGACTCAGCTGTGGCCTCGGCAAGACTTGCATACCGTGTCTCCTACGAGACTGAGAGGCTTGTTCAGAGCAATATTGAAATATTGTGCGGAGCATCGAAGGGAATGAGGACGCAGCGCGGCATCGTCTAAATCAAGCAGCAGCTCTCGGGAGCGGAATTCAGCTTGGCTGACCACCCGAGCCTCGCATCGAAGCAGAAGAATAGCGTGACTTTAGCGAATGTACAGCTCTTTGTATCTTCCAACCCACGGATGTCTGCAGAACCTCGAAAAGAAATCTGTGTCAATATATGCCTAAGCAGATGATTTCACCATGTCTAAACACACATGTCACACGGACAGTGGTATGCGTGCGACACGAAGTCCGTCCTAATACGCAATTTTTTTTCAATCCGGGCCGTCCCTGTTTCTGCGTGTATGTCGGTATGGGCATGCGTGCATGTATGTATGTATGAAGAGGGACGTCTAGGCTTTCGGATAAAGCCCCCTAGATGAGCAATACCATCATCGACTGCCACGAGCGTCGAAAGAACATTTTCTCTTGTGCGCTCATGACACCATTTCAGCACTGAGAACGATAGCTGTCACACAACACAAGTCTGAAAAGCAATGTATAAGGAAAGGGGAGATAAGCATTGAACTTTCGGGCGTGTTCTCACAAGACTCACTAAATTCTTGTTTGTAGATAGAAGCGAAAAACGCCCAAAGAAAGCTGTGAACGAACATGAAGATTTTTTTTGGTGACCTCTAGATTTTCACCACTTAGAAGGTGCAAGCAGCCACTCCTTCTTGCACGGGTTGCGTATGGCATGTATGGCAGCATCCGAAACACGATGCAGTCAGGAGCCGGTGTGGCCCTGAACGACCTTTCGTAAGGCTTGTGCTCCTAACCCCTGAAATGTGGCTGCCAGGGTAACAAAAAGGCCGTCGAACCCTGGCTCTATTGAACCCACGGTGGGCTGAGTGGGCGACTTTCGGGCTTTGAAAGCTGGTGTGGCTTGAGCATAGAGGTGGGCGAAGTTCAGGGCAGCAGCAGCAAGAAACACATTGGAACACAAAAACCAGGAGCAAACAGGACTTCCCTGAGTCGAAAACAGAAACCACGATCGACGCTGCACCGCCAATGCACACAGAGTTCCCTGAACCATCGACAGACACCGACCTAAAAGCGAGACTCCCCAATATCTTTCGAACGACATACCTTCAAACGATCCCTATAACGAGATCGCAATCTTGGGCGAGATCCTAATTCGATGAGAACCTTTTCAGACAATCTCGAGAGGTGCACAGAGCCAGCACAGCACCGGATGCACCGGGTCGAAAAGGACCGGAAAGATGCCCGGAGTCCAGTTTTCATAGGTCGTGCCTAAAAACAAAAGCTTCTCCGACCCAAGATGATTGCTCCATTTCTCCCTTCCCCTCTTCTTCCGCAAATTCGAAGTGAAATCATCTTTGAAGATCACCGCATCGGCGGTCCAACAGGACGGACACCCTCCAAATCTGCGCAGCGTGGTCAAAGCTGAGCGGCTTTTTTCGAGGTTGGATGAGAACCGAGCTCGAACGCGGCGACAGATTCGGAAATCTGTTTCCATGCCCGCCTTGGCCGTTTGTGCATTGGGGGCAGAAAAACCTTAAACGACCTCACATGCTGGGTTCTGGTTTTGAAAGAAGCGAAAGGGGGTGCCGTTTGGCTTGAGAAGGCGGCATTCAATTTCATTGTTGTTGCACATGGGGACCGCAGGTTGTCGTAATTCCTGGGTAACTTAGTAGCTTCAGGATTTGGGAGTTAAGTTCAAAAAGCTCCATGGCGTGTCCTCTGTGAGTCCAAGTCGTCGCGTGGCATGCGCAAAAGCATGGCACAAGCAGACATGAATGGCATCCCTTGCCAAACCAGGGACGGTAGCTGATGCCTCACCCTCGTAAGTGCAGTCCGCATATTGCCTGCCAGCAAGGCGAAATTGCGCAGCTCGAGCAAAGAGATGAGACTAAACAAGCAAGGACAGCTGCATGGTGGTTGGCTTCTCGGGCGGTTCCTGCTCTGAAACATTGCAACGCAACGTTAAACTCCTCAAGCAGCATTTAACATCTTGCAGCCATCCTCTGGCTGATTTTTGCCTTTAGCTTTGGCTTTTGTGTCCGCCTGCCAAGAGCATCGCGTAGCAGTGAATTCAGCACGGGGGGGAATGTCGTCAAGTTCCCCACTTTCGGTTTAGCTTTGGCTTTCGCGTCCTCTGAAGCCAGGCACATGCATCGATGCTGACCCGGTGGCTCAGAGATCATAGGCTGTCCGGGACGGGCTCCGAAGGCTCTTCTTTCAAGTCTGGAATCGGCTGGGCCTCTTCAGCTCTAATTTGATCATGCGATCTGCCCGCTTTACTCTCCCATACACATCTACCGGTCTTCACTCGAACTTCGCCTGCGGCTCGGGCTCCTGTCCATCACATCAGCAAAACAAGAACATGTTTTCAAGATGCTCCGAGGCCTCTGGAAGAAGGTCCCCCTTCGCAAGGGCCTGGGACACGGGTGTAAACCGATCAGTATACTGGCTCGAGACAGGCCACATGACACTCACATGACTCATCTTCGTCACGGACAGATGCGCCAGCTCGGCGCCAGCCGGCAACCTAGCATCCCGATGTCTGTAAAAACGAAAACATCGGCAACTCTTCCTTGCTCCTCAGCTAGCGGCAAGTGCAGCGAAACTTCTGGGCATTGCAAAGACTGAGAACCTGGGCGCAGCAGTTGCAAGACTTCACTGCTGGATATGCCCAAAACCGAAAACAGTGACCAAAAGACAAAAGCAGCAAGCTTGCACAATAGTGAGCTTCGAATGCTGTAAGATTGCTGTGAGATTGCGACTGATTGCTGACGAAAGGTTCCTCCGTCTCGTTCGGCCTCCATGCAATTCGCAGGATTCAAGCTGCTTAAAGTCTTGGCAAAGAATCTGAACAGAACTGGAATCAACGTAAGTTGACAAGTAAAGGGCTTGGCGTGGATTATATGGGCTTTTGGTTTCCAAACCGTGTGCATTGAGCTCAGAAGCTTCCACTCCATAGCGTCGACATTCTCCGCATTCCAAGCTGGAAGGGGTTGAACCTCGAAAAGGGCGAGTGCAATCGATTACATACTGCAGCAGATGCAGGTGCTGCAGCACGTCATGTCATGTAACGATGTTCAGCACAACACTTCATCAAGAATCCCCTTCGAGTCATTTGCGACTTTAACTTACGTGGAAAGGTGGAACTTGCATAGCAGCACCGTCTTCTGCTTAGTGAGCAGCATACTGGTCGCGCAAAGCCTTCCACTGAGCGTCCACCTGGTTCGGTTCGCACTCACCATCACGCATCGCACTGTTGAACACCAACATCCCATGCAAACGACAATGACAACGACGTGCGAAGGGATCCTCAGAGACGTCCGGAGGCTCAACCGCCGCAAGGGGCTCACCTGAAAACTAAGGTCTGAGACAGCTTCGCTGAGACTTTTGTTGTGATTCCATGGGTTTCCATGTGCTTCTGCTGAGTGCACAGCGTGCTTTGTATGCAGTGACCAGCTCCGGCTGAACGGGTTCGTTCTGTTTCTTCTTGTCCTTTCAGCGTCTGTCACCTTCTTGAATCTGGCCAGGTTCTCTTGACTACTGATTCCCGCAAGGCGTCCTTCTTCGGGGCCATTGGGCCATGCGTGGAGAGTTAAGCTGTTGCTGAAGCCTTCAAGTCATATAGGGTCCGGGTCTTCCTTGGGCATGTGCAAGGCAAGCATGTCTGCTAACCACACATTGTAGGCCATGATGATTTGTTTAATGCAGTCATGGCCAATCTTATGCTACATCTTTGAAACAGGCTAACGGTTGACAGTCACAACAAACTATGCTGATCTCGAGCCCGGAAAGCGGCCGATCTGATGATATCTGACGATGAAGGCCCATCAGTGCATACGCAACTGCATCCACTGCAAGTCAGGGTCCTCTTTTTTGAATCGAGTTCCTTGTGGAACTGCAACGAGCTGGTTCTGGGAAGGCGACAAACATTCAGCCAGCACACATGAGGCATGAGGCATGAGAGAGGAACAAATGTGGCTGAAAGAACTCGAATGCTGAATATGCCTGCCTGCCTTCAACATAAATGTAAAGTGAGACATCATACACAAAACTCTATGCCTGAGAAGCTTCTGTGCAACGTGGGCTTGGGCATCAGATGCAATTGCCGACGATGCCGCAAGCCCTTACATGCCGACAAGAGCAATCAGTCGAAAAATGCTGCTATTTGGGGCAGCCTGCACCACGGGCAACTGGCTTGTGCACAAGAGAGATAACTTTCAAAACATGTCATTCTCAAAAGCCCACAGGTTGCCAGAGAATCACTCTTCAGGAGGCTTGGCCTGGAAGATGCTCTGTTGAAACGAGAAGACTTCTGGAGCAAAACTCAAAGCGCTGACACGTCGTTGGCCCGCCTTCTGCTCATTCGGAGTCGAGGTCTCCAAGTGTTCCAGCAGGATCTGGCCCAAGCAAATGTTCCCAAAATCGGTTCACAAGGGGCAAGCTTGCAGCAATTTGACCAGAATTCTGCTTCAGGTTTTAGGACGATGTAAGACATACGATCCGCGGCACAGGTCAGGGTGGGGAAGCGCCAACGAGTCGCAGGTCAAGCCGAAAAATAACAATCGTTTCTTTCGCGTGACGTTCCAAACTTCCTGTTGGCCTTCGAGCCTGTCCATGTCCACCCCGATGCCCTGTGTACAAAGTCTGCCTCTGCCTTTTTTCGTTCAAAAGGTTGCAAGTACAAAAGATGACCGGCACGAAAATACAGACGAAAGTGGTTTCAAGGCGTGCTTGACAATTCTCGGCATGTGAATTGCAACACCAGCTAGTCACAACAGCGGGTGTTCAACACCTGCACACAAATGCCAATGCCACACCATGCAGGCTCCCCACAACCAAAGCGACGAACCTTGTGAGCAGCTGATATTCGATCCTGCAAATATGGTGATCCTGGACACTCCTGGCGGGCCATAATACAAAATCAACCCATGATCTGCGACAAGAATTGGGCGCAACCAGGCTGCCTCAGAAGGAGCATTCAAGGAGTGCAACGTCTGGAAGCGTTCCTTTCCATCACGGTCAAACTGCATTGAGGTGCCAAATGCTGCACCCAATCATGCAAGACCTGATCGCATCAACAAACGACGGGATATCAAAACCCATGCAACATTAAATCACTGCCCGAAGGGACATGCAGCTTGAAGATTTTTTACAGGCAAGTGCCACAAAAACTTGCGAAACATTCCGCCATCGCCCAAAACGATCGCGGCTCTAACACAAGCGTGTCTTGGAAAGGCCTCCAGCTTGGATCGGCTTGTTAAAACTTCTGCATCCAAGACCTCACAGACTTGAAAGAACACGTGCCTCATTGGCTTTCCTTGGCTTGGCAAAGTGCAGCTGTTGTGGCCTTCTTGGCCTCATCCAAGGACATCCGCCTTCTGGCTATCTTTTGCGCTGCGGCTGCCGCCGCTCCTCGTCCAGCAGCTGCCTCCTGGATGTTTACTATTGGTGATCTGATGTCATGTGCTCGTGTGCTTTTTTCTGCCACAATCCGACAACCCGGTCAAACCCAGCCTTGTATGCTTCCAATACCTTTGCAGCGGCACGACAATCATTTCAAGCGAACTACCGTGGGCATGCGAAGGAAAGTAAGAGGCGCACCGCCCTTCCGACTGCTCCGCCAGCAACCATGCCAATCCGAGCCTCGGCAAAACCCCAGAACAGCAAAATCTGGCTTGAACATGCCCTCCTCTTGCATGACAAGAAGCGATAATTCTCACAAACGGACCAAAAGCCATGGTGATCAAATGCACACCAGGCAGTTTTGTGCCTACTTATTGGCGCGTGAGACATCCGCCACATGTAGAAGACGTAGAGACATGTAAAATATAAACGTGCGACATCTGCAACGCGTGGAAACGGTACAACGAAAAAACACACTCTGCGCGTGCACTCTGAGCTGCAATTGCTGCAGTACAAGCAACACAACTGAACGAATGAAAAATGAAAATGGCTGACGTCTGGACTGAACCTGTTGGACGATACTGACCATATATCCTGTATCTACCATAAGGTATGCAATGGGGCCCAAAGTTTTTGCATATAAGTTTTGTTCCCCGTTTTGCTGCTTTGAGTTTTTCCAGACGGTTTGCACATTTTACCTTGTCATGTTGTGTACGCCCGAAGCATGAGCATTTTGTCGGTTGTTGTTGCTGCGCAAAGTCTTCCTGTCGCCCACACGACGTGCTCCAGGGGCAGGCTACAACCCCTCGGGAGTCAGGAACGGAACCAACAATGACCAGGAGGGAACAAAATTTGAACCAAAAGGTGGCCGAAAAAATTTCTCAAAAAGTTACGCAACTTATCGACAAAACTTGTGGCTTGTTTATGTTGCCCCCCTCTCAGGGCTCATCTTAGGATTCTGAGCTGTTTCTTGTTGTACAGACGGCGTGGTGTTTGCATTGGCACTTGCTGTGGAAGGGCGGGCGCGCCCAAGCTTGGACTCATCGCTGCGCCTTGGGCCCCCAGGAGCCTGCACAAGCGGAAAACGTTAGCACCGGGTTAAAGCAGTTGGGAGTGAGTTGGGTTTGGGGGCAATCGCAAGAAGAACCAGCAGAATGATAGCAAGCAATGCCTATGTGAGGTAAAATTCTGGTGTTGCACACCTCACCATTGTAAACCACGCAGTAAAGACGCAAAGTAGACCTGTTTGTGGAAAAACTGCTCAAGCGTGAATGTTGGCCAGACGCACAATCATGGCACGCAAGGGCTGTTCGCGCAAAAAATCATGCCTGGGAACCGTTCAAACAGTGTTCGGGAACAATCTTGGTAAGAAAACATACTTTGTCGGTGTGAAAAGAAAAAGACGAGAAGGTAAACCATGGCAAAAATATTTAGTCCAAAGACACACCTTAAGTAAATACCAAGAGGATACAAATATATGTACGTAGAACCTTTTTTTAAGATCATTTGAAACACTCTAAACATTTGAAATGCTGAAAAATGCTTAAACAGTGTAAAATGTTGAACATGTTTTGTAAGGCCGCATTTTGAACCCTTTAAACTTTTTAAATGTTAAAGATGTTCTGAATGTTTCAAATAGAGTGGAATCGAAAGGGACCAGGACAAAGTCCGGTCGACCTCCGGCGAAGGCTGAAGGATAAAACTGCAAAAGGAATACAAACACAAAAAAACGACGTGCTCCAACAGAAGCACAAGCGAAACAACAGGCAATGTCCCAAAATGATTGCAAGAAATACAAGACGTTACAGCAACTGCAGGTGAGCACCCGCCACGTCCAGGGAATGCCCTGACAAGCTTACCACGAAGAGGTCGTTCCAGCAGCACCGCAAGTGCGCACCCGCCAAGCCCGGGGAATGGATACCCCGAAGCCAACAAGCTGAGAATGGGCCCCCCCCCTTTGGGCAAAGGGGGGCTTAAGCCCCCCTTTAAGCCCCCCTTGAACCCCCCTTCAAGCCCCCCTTCAAAGGGGTCCCTGCGAAGGGGGTCTCTTGGGGGGGGGGGAAAGGGTCAAAGCCCTTAAGCCCCCCTTTAAGCCCCCCCTTAAGCCCCCCCTTAAGCCCCCCCTTAAATGGAATTTTACAAGATCAATGTTCACAGACTGGCTTGATCACACAATCCAGAATACACAAGATGCACAGCAAAGTCACTTGATGCAATCACTCACTCAGCAATCTTGTTTGTGCCGCCTTGAGCCAAAGCATCGAGTCAATGCTCATGTTGAGCATGTCGCTGTGCCAATGCTTCTCTTGAAGCATGCCAACTGTGACCTTATATTCTAACACGGTCCCTCAGCAGAGACACTGTTTGTCTGTGCTGTTCTCCAGTCACAATTCAAATGATTTCGTAAAACAAAGATTCAATCAACCAATCAACGGAGTATGTCGAAAAAAAACTCAACTGCAAACGACTACCAATCATCTCAGCAGTAAACATTGCACTCAGAGGCTCGGCTCAGTCCTTTTGCTTGGCAAGCGAATCGCAATCGCTTCAAAAGAGAACTTGCAACGAAACCTGCAAAGTTCTTTGGCGTTCCGAATGCTCCAATGCATCCGAATCAATACACCACACGGAGTGGTCCTGAGAAACGGTCAGCAAAGTTTCCAATCGGGGTCCAATGAGCTGCAGCAAATGAAAAACCACATCGTCACCAATGAAAAGCATCAACTGTAAACCCAATCGTCGAAGCAACAACCAATCAAATGCAATCTCATCTTTCCAGGCCAGTCAAAATTGTTGGATGCCAATGAGGCATCAGTCCATCTGGTGGACGTTGAGGGCAATCCTCAATCGGCTGCCTCCGCTCGCGATCGTGAGGTCGGAGCTGCCAATCTGGCCTTCGCCAATGGTCCTTGCCACTGCGCTTCCAGCAATGGCTGACGAGCCAATGCCTGCGGTGCGTCCTGCACCAATCAGCTTGCTCAGGCGTGTCGGGACGGCAATGTGGCGGTGGAATGAGAACTGCTCCGTTGCGCCACTCAAGTCCCAATTCAATCCGTCCAGAAGGGCCTTAATCGAGTGTCAACCACCATCGCAGTCATCAGCTCAATCGGGTTCAAGCGGTAGTTGCCATCTTCAATGGCTTCCAAGATCAAGCAATGGCCACAGTACGAC